CACGACACTGACATTTGGAAACTTGAAATTCGTGTATGTGTGAACTTTTGGTTTAATTTCTAAAATCAATTCATAACGCCCCCTCATAACTCCCCCTGCAAGACGGCAAGCCGTATAGCCTAAGTACCTATACCTTTCGTAGGTAACCTCTAAAATTATCCACTATAAATAACAATTATGTTACGTATTTTTATTGTTAATGTTAATGTTAATCCGGGCATTCTAGATGTTATCTTAAGTAATCCGTGGTTTGATGTACTAGCGAGTAGCGAGATCAGATAATGCAAATGTGAAACTCTATGGCCGTTGCTGAGCATACGAATTTCTCGCAAATTAAAACGGTACTACTGTACGTAAATAGATCTTTTTGCTAGTCAAGGAGCTTGGTATGAAAAAGCGTGACCGTTTGAAGTTCTGTAGTATCGGAAAAACACAAAAGTTGCGAATACCTACAGCAGTGAATCAGAATCTTGAGATATCACTTGGAACAAAAATGTCGTCTCAGGAATCGTATGTAGGAATGGCCATTTCTGCAAATAACAATACGAGAGCACAGCTGACTTAGTCTACAAGCATTTATGATTAAAACATGAAAAACAAGCTTAATCGAATAAATACCTCATTTGCTTGTCTAGGAAAAAGAAATTGTCCGTTAAGCAAAAATGCATTCAATGGTACACCACATTTTAGGTTAGTTCTATAACTTAAAATGTGGTGTATGTAGGTACTATTGAATGCATTTTTGCTTAACAGACAATTTCTTATTTATTAATTACATCTATTGCAAGAAAACTGTTAATTTGGAATGTATCGAGTTCTTGGTGTACCAAAAATCAATGAATACACATGAATTTTACGCAAGTTGATTTTACATCTGATGATTTGATGTTGAAGTTGAAAGATGGTGGTACGTGTACGAACTGCCAACTTAGAGATGAAAAGTTACCAAAAACAATGCTACAATAACTTTCATTGTAACACTGTTTCTGCCGAAAAAAAAGAAAAGAAAAAAGCAAAATTCTCATTGTAACACCGAAATAGAAAAATTCGTTAAGCCGCTTGTCAGCAAGAGGCGAAGAGTGCACTTTCAAATTTGTTTTTTTCGATTTTAATCGCCTTCATGGACATTTCATGCCTTAACGAGACTACAAACATGAAATAATTTTGAATTTCTGATCGAATGACACCAACACCAAGTCTGTAAGTGGTGTAGCTCGGGAGCCTTTGTGACAAACAGACAGACAGACATCAGGCGCGCAAAAGTGCACTTTTTTATTTTTTTAAAGTGAGAGTGCACTAAAAATAAAAATGTTGAATTGACAACTAAGTTGATATAAACGGCAATTGTTTTGTCGTAATTATTTGATACCACTTGATATAACATATAACTGAAGATATGTTTAACGAACAATCAAAACGTGAAATGTGCCAAACACATTATTGGGTTTTTTTTTTAATTGATTCATAAGCAGACCATCGAACTTTGATTTTGTAAAGAGCACTTAAAATTGATTCTTATATATATAAATTATATTCAAAGCTTATAGGGAGTGCATATTCTAATTTTAAGATGGTGGTGGCTGGGGATGTGGGGATAAATGCAGAAACAAATTCCAATCGATGGGTAGTTTTGAAATGAAAGCCCTGTATGCTCAAGAAAGCAAAGATCAGTCTCAGTATACAGACTTTTTCTCCGAGATAAAACATGCATTTCTATGGTGCAAACTATAACGCCACGGTGAAATATCAAACAACGATGGGAAAGGTATCATGTTAACAAATCGGTCTCAAAACCTATTAATTCACTTAACAGACTTTTCAAATACCTAGAACCAACTAAATACCAGTGCTCATTATTTTGTGTATTTTTCGAAAATGAATATGCTTAGGTACACGTCCATCAATATCAACGCATGAAAAATAACTTCGCAGAAAGCGTCATTTCTTTGAGCTTTCCTAGGACTCTTCTCCGAAACATTGTATACGTAGGTAAGTTGACGGTTGATTCGCTTTAATAGATTTCGTGTTTCTATTTTCTATATAGACAAAGGACGAGTATTGGAAATAAACGTATTGTTCTTGTTCCTGTTGCGCTACAGAACTTTTGTGTTGAAATTATTAAAGTAATCTAACTTCAAAATAACGCATCTCAGCCAACAGATGTAAAAATAGTAGAAAAAGAGAAGCGTGTTCTATTGTGTACTTTTGTACTGACAAAGCCTGCATGCTTTGTGTAAAAGCTCCATTTATTAAAAATAATATCTTAGTTTTATCAGCAGTGAAATCGAACAGAATGTGTGGAAAACTAGGATAGTCTTCCTATCCATGGGAAAACACATTCACACGAGACAAAATTTTAATGAACATGCATATACATAATACCTTCGTTTAAAGCGACCAAACTTTAATAAATTAAACAACTTTACGTACATTTAAACCGTTTGCCTCATTTTGAAAATGTATTCTCGCTTCCAAATCAATTGCGTTTTCAATTTAATCAGTCGTCCAAAACAATTATTATCGTTTGGGGGAACAATTACGATTGCAGTGTAGATTACCAAAAGTACTCGCACGTTCGCTTCATTACCAGTTAAACGTAATTAACGAATACAATGTAATCCTTATTCTTATGGGACCATTAAAGTGATATATGTCGACCTTTATACGGTAACTTGGTTTCAAAAATTTACAACGATCTTTGAGCGAGAAGTTACCCCGATCGACCTGCGTAGCTTGTTTCAAATTTTAATTTCCAGCGCCTTATTAATTTTTAGTTTCCTACTCGCTCGGTAAATGCCACGATTTTCGTTTCTTTGTTATAATAAAAAGAAAAACTATCGTATTACCGTTTTGAATATTTTGTTATAGCATTAAGGAGTGACAGCAATGACAAATAGTTTTGGAATTGCACGAGGAAATAGATTTAAATTACGTGCATAATGTTGACATTACATTAATGTAATACATGCAGTGCAGAAAATGGAAATTTAATCGATTTAAGATACGAATACAGCGTAATTTCATGTCAAGTAAGACTTTCCAGACAACATGCTCTCGTCTTTATGATTAAACGTCTCCATCTAAGTTTCTGGTGGATTTATAAAACTTGCTGTAAATTTGTATGGTCGCAATAATTGGTGCATGTAGCGGTTTGTGGTTAAATTTTGTCAGGCTTCCTATCCTTTGGTAGCTCTTCAAAATTTTCAGGTCATCAAGCAAATGTTTGTCCTCGTGAGTGTTTTTTTTTAACATGGGGAAAAGGTAGTTATTTTTTTGATAGCGGAAACCACTATTCGCAACAACTTTTGTTAAGGAACTTTTGGACCCATTAAATACGCCTTTCTCTTTTAGAACTTACAAAAGGGATTGGAGTGTGAGATGTTGTTCTAAAATACAAACGTAAACTGCTTACAATATCATCTTGCGTAGATGGAGTTCCGAAACGCTGCTTGTGTGAAACCATCAACAGCGAATCGCGTTTTGCGATTCTTACAATCGTAACTTCACGAATAATCCTTCAACTTTCCTTATCCCAGACGAATCCCTGCTTACTTTTCTATGTGCTTCACTCTATAAAATGGTGGTTTGTTAATGAAATCGGCCAATTGTAATCATTATCTCCTTTGATTCGTTTGACTCTGCCAATTATCCACCTTCAAACCCACGCTCTTTAAATATTGCAATATCGTCGTTTCCTATGGACTCGAAACGAGATCATTCCGACTGATCAGTTTTGGATACGTAAATCTCATTAGAGATTATCAATGCCCAGACAGGCGGATGCCAATAACTTCTTCAACCCATTAACAGGTCAGTGACAAGAAATAAAAGCTTTCATGACATTGTGTACTGTATACTCTCAAACAACTAAAAGGTAATTATGTGTACAAAAATATTAGTTTTGACAATGGGAAAATGCCATTGTATAAGTAACCACAAACTAATGCTGCGCTTTACTTCCAATAACCTTTTTGAATTGAAACTTTTCTTAGTCGTAGTAGGTTTAGTTAGAGAATTTAATCGGTTTTCAGTTATATATCTTTTTATTCGTATATTTCATGAACATGATACGAGTATACGAGGTGTTCCAAATAAAATTTGTTGAACTACCGCCGAATACTGGAGAATAATTCATGATGTCTTGAGAAATTATGAATAAATATTAAAGAATTTGTGAAAATATTTATTGAGTTAAGTTTTAGGGCGGTAGAAATTTTCGTTAGGACACCTAGTGTTTTTGTTAGTATATATGTTACCGGCAATTTGTATAATTCAGGTATTCTATACAATGTCTAGGGAACGTATGCATGTGATATCTAATTTCTTGATTCTTGATTAAGAGTACTTACTTGTTATATCACCAAAAAGAGAAAAAAAATCTATCAAATGAACCTAATGAAAAGGTGCACTGCCATTTAAAAAAATTCAATTGATTTTCGTTACTCATTTGTTTTCTGAAATAGAAACAACTTAATGCTACCTTATTATGGGAAATAAAATGTTAAACATCCATGCATAATGGGTACCCTGTATAAATATAATAATACAATACGAGTAGATAGTAGGCAACTCAACCTACATCTTGATCCGCGGTGATGCGATGGTGTTTTTTTTTTAATAATTAGCCCTATCGGGATCGATGCCCATGTGGATAATCACCTTACACTTGCTATTTGATATTCAAAAGTCTATTAACTGACCCGAAAGGCATCTCATTGCAGGCGCTCATCAATCATTAAGAAAAGAGAACAACTAAATTTGGAATTTTATTTCACATTTCAACATTATACAAGTTTGAGTGCGAACATTATCATTTACTTTTCAGATTCATTTTCCACTGCACAGCAGCACAAATCACCTAACTGCAATATAGAAGTTTAAAAAACTGAAATGAAATTAGGAAGAATGTGGCAAATTCAATATGACCTACTGTACCGTGTACGCCTATCATCAGCTTTGTATAAACATAATTTATTATCTCGACATATAAACGATTCGTTAATCGATGAATCGGCATTTATCAAACAATAATATGTGCTTTATTAACAATTATTTTGCTTTCCACAATTAAGTTTATCTTACATTCTAAAATACATTTACAGCAGACATCATTTAATCACCGTTAAACAAAATGGCACGTGTTACAAAAAATGACGACATTATTTTTTGTACAAAAACTACATTCGTAATAAATTACTGCATTTAGGGCCTATTTTCCAGCTCTTTATCTTTTAATGTAAAGTACATATTATAACAGGCCAATCTCTCATCTAAATGGGTCATAACCACACTACCCTTGTATTTTCCACTAAGTACCGAGCTTTCACTCATAAAATCTAGCATTGTTGATGGAAGTGTGTAATTACCCTGCAAGTTAAAGTATAATGTAGATGGATATAAACAGCATAAATGCGGTACATACCTTTTTAATTGGACATCGGCAGGGGACATTGTATTCTTTAAAATCTGGAGGGCAGCCTTCGTCGGGAGGATATCCAAACTCGCACAGGTCCTCAAAGTTGCAAGAACCCACGTTATCAATACACGCAATTTTGAGCCACCCGAACCACGTGCTTCTTTTGACAACCACTTCAGCCTGAAATAGAAAAAATTTAGTAATTTTCTGTAAACGGGGGTGTACTGACCATAATTGGTGATTCTAAATCACGAGATGCAATCAATGTCCCACTCACATGGACCTTCATACTAGGGCCGATGTTAATCTCAACGTCTTCCACAGTAATAGCTTCCGTATCATTGGAGTAGCACTTGGAAATATGAAAATCAGTTACGTACATGTCTTTCTACAAACAAAGAAATAAACACTGCACAATTATCGACCATTAGACACTAACCAATTTCGACATAAACGCATTCGTCTGAAGGGTTAAAAGCGCACTCAATGCAATTGTTAGTAGTATACCGTTCATTGTACTGCTTCTGGCACTGCCGTCTGTTAATTGAATTTTACTACATACGGCTCCCTTTATATGGGTATTATTGTAAGTAAAATGCGACTTTGTGAATCATAACGCCACCGTATGACCTTGTACTTAAGCAAATTGATCTTTAACTTATTAACTTAGTATCGTTAATGCGTAAATAGAACCTTGAAGTTCAGAAAGTTTGTTGTGTGGAGATGCGCTGATTCCTAAAGCGACAAAATTTTAATCAAGTTCCGGTTCCAAAGTGATAACAATTGTCGCCATTGATGCTGTATGAGTAGAATACTTCCAATTTTGCGTGCTTATCCACATACATTAAGAGAACAATAAAATTCAGCTTTCATAAAATGAGTGCAAAGCGAGGTGCAAAGTTTTAAGTTTGTTTTGGTACAAAATTCAAAATAGTATATTAAGAAATAAGTCTAGAATCAAGCCTTTAAAGCACGCGCAACGAGTTTAATGGCACGACGCGTAGTTATAGGCGAAAAACCAATTTCGAAAAAAAAATCAAAGGGCTGTAACTTTTGAACCAGTAGCCCAATCTTGGAACTGTTTGAAATTGTGGATTCTTCAGGCCACATTCTATAAGAAAATTTTTTTTCCGGGTCGATCTGATACAATTTTTTTTTCGAGCCTCAAAAAAAGGCAGTGTATAACCTTCCTTTTTTACCAAAAATCGACTACACCAAAATTCCTCGGGAAAACAATTTTTCTTATTAATTTTGGTGCGTAGAATCCAAAACAATTCGTACTTTTTTGAGTAGACTTCTCAATCAAAAGTTATAGACTTCACTAGAAACAAATTTCGAAAGAAAATTCAAAGGGCCGTAACTTTTGAACTAGTTGCCCAATCTTGGAACTGTTTGAAATTGTGGATTCTACAGGCCACATTCTATAAGAAAATTTTTTTTCCGGGTCGATCTGAGACAATTTTTTTTTCGGGCCTCAAAAAAAGGCAGTGTAAAACCTTCCTTTTTTATCAAAAATCGACTGCACCAAAATTTCTCGGGAAAACACTTTTTCTTATTAATTTTGGTGCGTAGAATCCAAAACAATTCGTACTTTTTTGATCAGACTTCTCAATCAAAAGTTATAGACTAGAAACCAATTTCGAAAAAAAATTCAAAGGGCTGTAACTTTTGAACTAGTAGCGCAATCTTGGAACTGTTTGAAATTATGGATTCTACAGGCCACATTCTATAAGAAAATTTTTTTTCCGGGTCGATCTGAGACAATTTTTCTTGAGGGGCTCAAAAAAAAGGCAGTGTACAACCTTCCTTTTTTACCAAAAATCGACTGCACCAAAATTTCTCGGGAAAACACTTTTTCTTCTTAATTTTGGTGCGTAGAATCCAAAACAATTCGTACTTTTTCGATCAGACTTCTCAATCAAAAGTTATAGACTAGAAAGCAATTTCGAAAGAAAATTCAAAGGGCTGTAACTTTTGAACTAGTAGCCCAATCTTGGAACTGTTTGAAATTATGGATTCTACAGGCCACATTCTAAAAGAAAATTTTTTTTCGGGTCGATCTGAGACAATTTTTTTTTCGAGCCTCAAAAAAAGGCAGTGTTATACCTTCCTTTTTTACAAAAAATCGACTGCACCAAAATTTCTCGGGAAAACACTTTTTCTTATTAATTTTGGTGCGTAGAATCCAAAACAATTCGTACTTTTTCGATTTGACTTCTCAATCAAAAGTTATAGACTAGAAACCAATTTCGAAAAAAAATTCAAAGGGCTGTAACTTTTGAACTAGTAGCTCAATCTTGGAACTGTTTGAAATTATGGATTCTACAGGCCACATTCTATAAGAAATTTTTTTTCCGGGTCGATCTGAGACAATTTTTTTTTCGGGGCTCAAAAAAAGGCAGTGTATAACCTTCCTTTTTTACTAAAAATCGACTACACCAAAATTTCTCGGGAAAACACTTTTTCTTATTAATTTGGGTGCGTAGAATCCAAATCAATTCGTACTTTTTCGATCAGACTTCTCAATCAAAGGTTATAGACTAGAAACCAATTTCGAAAGAAAATTCAAAGGGCTGTAACTTTTGAACTAGTAGCCCAATCTTGGAACTGTTTGAAATTATGGATTCTACAGGCCACATTCTATAAGACAATTTTTTTTCCGGGTCGATCTGAGACAATTTTTTTTCGGGGCTCAAAAAAAGGCAGTGTATAACCTTCCTTTTTTACCAAAAATCGACTGCACCAAAATTTCTCGGAAAAACACTTTTTCTTATTAATTTTGGTGCGTAGAATCCAAAACAATTCGTACTTTTTCGATTAGACTTCTCAATCAAAAGTTATAGACTAGAAAACAATTTCGAAAAAAAATTCAAAGGGCTGTAACTTTTGAACTAGTAGCCCAATCTTGGAACTGTTTGAAATTATGGATTCTACAGGTCACATTCTATAAGAAATTTTTTTTTCCGGGTCGATCTGAGACAATTTTTTTTGCGGGCCTCAAAAAAAGGCAGTGTATAACCTTCCTTTTTTACCAAAAATCGACTACACCAAAATTTCTCGGGAAAACACTTCTTCTTATTAATTTTGGTGCGTAGAATCCAAAACAATTCGTACTTTTTCGGTTAGACTTCTCGTAACTTTTGAACTAGTAGCCCAATCTTGGAACTGTTTGAAAATGTTGATTCTACAGGCCACATTGTATAAGAAAATTTTTTTTCCGGGTCGATCTGAGACAATTTTTTTTTCGAGCCTCAAAAAAAGGCAGTGTATAACCTTCCTTTTTTACCAAAAATCGACTACACCAAACTTTCTTGAGAAAACACTTTTTCTTATTAATTTTGGTGCGCAGAATCCAAAACAATTCGTACTTTTACGATTAGACTTCTCAATCAAAAGTTATGGACTAAATTCCAATTTCGAAAAAAATGTACTCGTCAGCATACGGCAAGATATGCTGTTAGGAGGAGGCATCAGAACATCAATCTTAGATCTATCCAGCAGTCTATAGTACTCGTTCTCGGTATTTCAGGAACTTTGATGGATTTATTCACACCAGTAAAAGATATTTTAACTTTCTCCTTATGAAAAATAAACAGAGGTAAGTGTGTTTATTGCAACTTCAGTAATCAGTACTTATTATTGATTAGTATTTCTGTAATTACGTACAAATGACTATTAAAGACAAATATGTTTAGGCATTGTACCATTATGCTAATTAACTCAATCCATCCAATCAATACCATTTAAATTGGCGTCATTGTAACACATGATGGGTTATGTCTGGATCTGAGTTACCATATACCGTGTGTCCCAGGTTGAAAGTACCATTAGATAAACAGAATTAATGTATTTTTTGCGTAGTGTCCTCTTACCGCGCTTGCTGCATGCTAGAAAGAGATTGAAGTAGTACTTTTTTGGGACATATCCTTTTCCTTGGGAAATGATTGTTTGGCTCTCTATTACGCAGTACCTACTTAGTCAATAAGTATGTATAAGAACTCGTATAAAACCATCAGGAGCTTCTTCACTTACTGACGCATTAGAATTTTATCTAACAAATTAGATAATACAGCAAATTTCCCATTGTAGATAATAAAATGTACACAAAAACGTATTAGGCGTAGGATGACAAGGAAAACAACACCACCAAATTTAAAGAATTAATAGACTATGGTGTCTGCTTAGGTGAAGAGGGAGAAGTGCTGACGAATACCTGCTGGCTATCAAGAAGCGCGGTTGCGGGTCAAGAAGATCTTGCTGCATCCGAATCTGCTTGTTGCAAAGTCAAATTCCATCTTCTTATATATCCAAAATGCAAGATGACGGTTAAATTCAAAAATACAAATTTGTATACAAGTTTGAGATTTTGTTAGCAAACCGTCACCCTCATTTTTTAAAAATCTAAAATAACCTCGCCGAAATCCCCATAAACTTGAAAATAAAGACAAAAATGAAAAATGAACAAATTGCCCGATAAATCAGTGATTCTTCAATATGTTTTAAAAGTGTTAAACCATATTGTTCAGGAATTCTTAATATACTGAAAGGCTTTTTCTACCCTTCTGTTGTATGTCCGGACATTCTTGAGATGTTAAAGAAATATAAAATTTGGATGTCTTTTATTAAATGTCTATATTAATTGCCGAGGGTTGTATTCGGAGGTCTCTTCAGAAATTCTCTTAGATCTCTTAGAGCTTTTTAAGATATTTCTCGATATTCTGTAGGTTCTACATCAATTCTTTAGGTACCTATGCTTAATGGAATCGTTAAAGAACGTCATTCAATGATATTTTAGGGTTTTTAAAAGGCTCTCCAGAGATTTATTGGAAAATTTTTCAAAATCTCTTCAAAAATATACTCCATACCTTCGGAGATTAGTCACAGATGCTTTAGAATTCTACATTTATTGTTTGAAACTTTAGGGCGGTAGACATGTTCGTTGGGACACCGTGTTTCTTACTATTCAATATTCAAAGATTTATTATGCTCGTATAGTATATGACCGGAAAGGTATCTGCTGCGCAGGCATCCATCCATTAAGCCAAGCCAAGAATAAGAACAATTAAGTTTTTTTCGTACTTCCGAGACTAAAGTGACAACTTCATTCCATTATGACAAGTACTGAAGTGTCACTTTTTGTCCCGCCGGGATTAAATTTGGACGAAAATCCCGGAAGGATGAAATTACTAACAAGGCAATTTCAGTAGGTTGTTTCACATTTTGTATGCGGCACTACTTCTTAAACGCATCGTACTGCTGCTCATATAGTTTTTTGGATTTCGGTGGTATCAATTCTTTACCTAATTTGGCTGCTTTTGATCAATATCAAATACACCTTTGTCACTCACCACCAAAATTATGACACTAGCAATGACAGTTTCCAAATTATTTTTGTTATCATAGCATAGGGATTGTTGTATCAACGCAACGTTCCTATGGTAACTTGTAGTTAAGCAGCGATTTTTTGAAAGAACGCTTTCTCTAATTCCATACATATTAAGTATTTCAGTTTCGGAAGTACGAAAAATATCGTATATACCTTGCGACTGAAGTAGTGGTCTTAATCCCTCAGGTAAATTAAACTTTACCTTCGGGAAGAAAAGTACTACTTCAGTCCCGCGGTATATAATATACTATTTTGGACATATAAACGACGAATCAGCAGAGTTTATCCTAAAATCTAAAATACATTTACAACACACATCATTAATAATTTAAACACTGTTAAACAAAATGGCACATGTTACAAAAATGGCGGCATTACAAAGACCACACTCGTAATAAGTTATTGCATTTAGGGCCTATTTTACAGCTCTTTATCCGTTAATGTAAAATACATATTATAACAGGCCAATCTCTCATCTAAATGGGTCATAACCACACTACCCTTGTATTTTCCACCAAGCACCAAGCTTTCACTCATAAAATCTAGTATTGTTGATGGAATTCTGTAATTACCCTGTAATTTAAAGTAATGTAGGTGGATATAAACAGCATAAATGCGGTCATACCTTTTTAAGTGGACATCTACAGGGGACATTGTATTCTTTAAAATCTGGAGGGCAGCCTTCGGCGGGTTGATATCCAAATTCGCACAGGTCCTCAAAATTGCAAGAACCCACATTATCAACACAGCCAACACCGAACCACCCAAACCACGTACTCTTTTTTACAACCACCTCAGTCTGAAATAGAAGAAATTTAGTAACTTGCGGTAAACGGGTAAACGAGAGGGTACTGACCTTAATTGGTGATGCTAAATCGCGAGATGCAATCAACGTCCCACTCACGTGGACCTTCATATTAGGGCCGATATTAATTTCAACATCTTCCACAGCAATAGCGCCCGTTTCATTGGGGTAGCACTTGGTAATGTGGAAATCAGTTACGTACATGTCTTTCTGTAATCAAAGAAATAAACACTGCATAAATATCGGCTATTAGACACTAACAAATTTCGACATAAACGCATTCGTCTGAAGGGTTAAAAGTGCCATTGTTAGAAATACGCCGTTCATTGCACTGCCTCTGTCACTTCCTTCTGTTATAATTGAATTTCTCCCCTATAATTTGGGTCTTATTGTAAGTAAAATGCAACTTTATGAATCATAGCGCCAGCGTATGACCACGTATTTAAGCAAATTGATCTTTAACTGCTTTATTCAAACTAGAACCTTGAAGTTCGGAAAGTTTATTTTGTGGAGATGCGATAGCGATGGACGATAGGATTCCTATAAACGACAAACTTTAATCAAAATTTGAAGTCAAGTTCAAAATTGATACCAATTGTTGCCTTACTATACCTGCACGAATAGTCGAATACTTTCAGGTCTAAAGAGTCTTGAATTTTATTAAAGGTCGAATTTTACCAATTTAGATATATTTTTAAAGAGCTTTCCAAATAGTGATTATTTAAAACGGCATCGAACTTGTTTTGCATTAATGCCTATATTTCGAAATTTTTTGGTCAATCCCACTTTGCTTATTTAAATTCGAACGCATCCAACTGGCAAACCTTCAAACTATTCTTCTTTATTAAGAATATAATTAATAATCTTAAACAATAATTCAGATATTGAAGCCTATTGAAGCGTTGAACATAGGAGGAGATTATATTACGAATTATTATCGGAAACATTGGAAATGATAACCGTATAACGCCATATATAAAACACAAATAAGCCTTATTCACCCGGGATCACTTGCTCCACTCGCTCGCAAGCTAGCTCGTGTCGCAAACGGGACTGTTTACTTACGCCATGTTGTACTTATTTGACTGCCGATACATGCACGCGGTTTAAAACTGAACAATTGACCGACATTACTTTGTAATGGAGTAAATACCCTTCTACTTTGCTGTTCTTGGATTTTTCAGAATCAATTCACTTCGATTACCAACGATTTTATGGAGATGAACGAGTGACCGCAATACTGTCGGAGATGAATCATTTTCTAATCGTTAGAAAAGGTTTCCTTCGCATGTGCTTCTTAATTCTTGCAGCGGAATACACAACACAGGTACCTATGTCAAATACTTCTACCTGCTGACGTTTTCTTTTAGATTCCCTTTGCCGGCGATTTACTGAAAATTGAGGAGTAAATCATGGAATGATTGTGATGTTCGAGATCTGACATTTTCCAGTCGAAAAGGAACCTCCATAATTCCTAATTCAAAATGGAGTCCACAAACCCCTCGTTGGAAATTTCGTTTTGGATTTACGATAGTTCTGGCGGTGAGTAAATTTATTAACAAAGTACATTTTAAATCACAATTTATAATATAGCGTGAACATGTTTTTATTGTTTTAGGGGCATCCTCAGCAAAAGGTGCAGTAAGGCAACCACGCCCATTTGATCTGCAAAATCCCTTGAAAGTTGGTGCAAAAAAAAATATTTTTGAAAACTTTTTTGAATTCAAAAAATATTTTTGAAAACTTTTTTGAATTCAAAAAATATTTTTCAAAACTTTTGAATCAAAGAAATATTTCTGAACTTCAAAAAAGATTTCAAAAATAAAATTCAAAAAGATCAGGCTCACTTTTCATACGGATTCATCATCTCTGAGCTTTCACCTATCACCTAAGCTTTTGGTCCGTTGTCATTCATGACTCGTGCTACCACAACCCAGTGGTTTGACACTAGTACAATTATTCTAGAGACATATTACATGCAATAAGTTTCTTTTTGTAACGATAAGTTGAAAAATAAATAACTATCTTTTGTCGCCAATCTTGTTTTGGTTGTGGTTCCTAAGCTTCCAAATCTCAGGGACCTTCAGACGTGCAGGTATTATCTGCAATAATAAGATTATTCCATTAACGAGGTATACGCACTGTCTTATGGTCCTACCTAAACGAATGTTTGCCCACAACCTCAGTGTAGATCAGCGACCTTAGCAACTTTATCCAAATACGGCGCTCTATACATTCGAAGGGTATTCGATCTTCGCATTGTTTCGGGATAGTATCGTCGTTTTGGATGGCTTGCAATTAGGTAGGTACTGCTTGAGACTGTCTAAAAGGTAAAATCAAATTAAGAAAGATCATATGTAAGTGTATTATGATGGGTAAGTATATATCCTGGGGTAGGGGACGTAAAAAAAGGAACCCCTATCATGCTGAAAGTGTTATCATTCGGGAGAGACAGACAGAATGTACCTTCAGTGTATTGGGTTTTGCTTTATTAAATATTTAGAACGTTCGCCTAGAAGTGTAGTTGCTTGATATGATGGTAGGTTTATACAATCATTATTATTAATTCAGTGTCTTTAGATCATTAATAAATATCTAATAGAAACAAATGTTTCTTGTGCGTCACTAACGAAACTATACCCTTGTTTCTATTGGCCATTTCTTAATGATCGTTGAAGTGTTGAAATCACATATCAGACGTACCATTAAATTTTTTTAAGATGGTACATACCTTGCCCTCCTCAGAGGTAAATTTAAGATTTTGTTCGTGTATGATTTGGAGTGATGACAATCCAGAAGCCATTGTTGCAACTCCATTACATCCACACAAAAGTAACTGTTTGGTGTACTTTATGGACTGGTGGAATCATATTTCTGCGAAGATAATCTTGCCATCTTGGTCAGAACGTGACAGTTAATTGAGAGCTTTATAGGTCCATGATTGTTGACTTTTTCGTTTCACAATAATGGCGTTAATATGTATAAGTTTTGGTTTCAACAAGACGGTGCAACATGACACACAATAAAGCCAATACCATGGACATTGCCATTATTTTTATGTGTTGTGTTTCATTTTAAAGTTCTATTATACTCTTTAAAAAATGAATCTTTGCCAGTGGCCAACCAAAAATGTATGTATCATCCGTATGGCCCGCTGCACCCTGCATTAAAATAACTTATGGAATTTACCAATAAAATGTCTGCCACCACCGCAGCGTGCAAAACACTAAACAGTATTTCAAGACTGCGGCTGGGCTGGAGTAGATACTGAAAATCTGGTTCGAAATGGAATCTGGAATCGCACTCCTCACAACTGTTCCTCGGTTCTTGCTGGGAAAAGTCATTTGTATTGTACCCACTCAACGAAATTCACTTAAGCACCGGCTAGGTTCAGCTAGAGGTACGCCCCTCGCCGTCTCCAAGTTTAAAATTAACGTTAACGTGTCCAAGAGTATGGTGATCCATTATTCATTTGCAAGAAAACAAACCCAATATGTTAATTAATAATAAAATCTCACCCATTTCACGTGGAATCAGTAGAAACGCGTCTCACACTTGCGGAGCACACGATCGCACTTACCTACTGGCGATTCGCACGCAAATAAATTGCGTTTGGAAATAAATAACATTATAATAACTGCAGGTGCAAGTCGCCTGATGACGCACATATTCTTCTTTTATACATTGACGAACATTCTAAATTTGAAGTAGATACGACAAAAATTCTTAATATTTTAAAAGAACTCTCTAGGACTAAGGCGTATCAACCACCGTAGCACATCCGAAATAAAGATTTATAGTTGTTTTCTCTAAAACTTTTTTAAATATTACTGCTCCAAGATGGCAGTTCTGAATCTAGATCTAATTTGGTATCTGGGGTTATTTAAACATGAACGTATCGCATCGCAATTAATTAGCACAACATGTCAAATCAGCACACAAATAAAAGAAATTTTTGACAATTTCACACTGGAGTGCCACTCCACTTTACTTATATTTTTGGGTCTGGTCTTCGATTTTATCAAAATTCAATTGAAATGACGTTTTCTCCGTGGTGCATATCCAGAGACATGGAGAGAGGAGATCGGTGATCGACGAGTGCGCATCCAAGAAAGGGTGCGACCTCATGGGCGCTGCCATTTTTACACCCTTTGTGTCATGTTGTGTTTATAGTGGTGTTATTTTAGCGTGTGTTCGTGTTTAGGAGAGCTTTTTTCGAGGTTTAAGTGTTTATTTTGTAACGTCAACGTCACTGGCATTTTCTTTTGTTCATTTGGATTGAGATATTAGTTTCTTCCTACGGAGCTGCTGCCGAATAGAGTGTAGTGTATGAAGATTGCGTTAGATGTCTCTGGGTTGCGTCAGTAAACCTTTATAGTCCTGTTCAAATTTCGCGCTTCAATGGGTGTCAAAATGGCAGCCCCCTTGTTTTGTAACTTCGCGCAGGTTCATGCGTTATCTCCTCTCTCCATGTCTCTGTGCATATCACAAATGCTGAGCGTACCAACGAAAAAGAATCGGCGCAAAATGATCGACATACTTGTAGCGTGGGGCAAAAGGGTTCGCATACGCCCTTAAAAGGGTATGCCCTTTTGTGGTTCGACAGTTTGTGGCCTCAAATGCACAGGTATTCAAGGGCATATGGTTCTACTGGGACTATAGATAATTTGACACCTGTATTAATTTTAAAGTTATTATACAGTATCACGCATACCCTCATGTAAAATGATGATTTTTGTACAACTTCTAGTTGTATGGATAGTTGAGTCACACTATTAGCTATTTTAAATGGTTTTAAGGGTTGGCATACCCTTATGCCCCACGCTACACGTATGCCGATCATTTTGCACTGGATTTCTTTTTAAGCAATAACGATTGCAATGTTACTAAAATTCAAAAGGGCATAAGTACGTTATACTATCAACGCGTTTTTTGGCAGCAAGCTGATGGACTGACGTTGCGAAAAATTTGAACAAAGATTCATTTGCGCAATAAAATACAAATTCATCTTTCAATTGAAGAAACTTTACCTTACGGATAAATGCAACAATGAATCAAGTTGGGTTGATTAACTAGGTATTTCTACTTCCAGAGATTACAAAAATCTGCTTTAATTCAAGTCTGCTGATTTCCTACACCACCAAATAGGATATTCCCGAATTTTCGCTACTCCTATTAAATTCTAAATACCAATTCACCATGTACTACGAGACTGATTCCTACCTCTAAATGATCAATGTAAGTTTTTTAGAATGGAATGTACGCTCATCATCATCAAAGGTGCTCTTATCGCGCAACTCCTGGACTTCCCCACTTTTCTCTTAGATACATCAATGGAAAGCTGATAATGATTTTCATTACCACAACATTGTGGGGGTTGATTATGCAAAAATGAAGTACGGTTATGGGGCTAAACGAAATCGCTATGTCTATTACTTAAAATTCAAATTTTCAAAACTCACTCCTGGCCGCTAATTTTCAATTTTTGACAGATATTTTCGACAGTAAAACTACCTTGAGACTAATTTTTTCATCTAGCATTCTTACGACATAATAGGGGCAACTTATCGCTGAAAAGGCCGTCCTTCCGCGAATGAACGATAATTTTTTTGGACTGTTAATATGACATTTTCCTCACAGTAAAGTCTTTCTCTATGACATAAACAGAGATCATGTTTGCAGCTTCAGTGCTGAATATCTTTAGACAGTAAATTCTAAAAAATATTACAGTTCAAATTCAAGAGGGCTTTTCCAACGATATGTAACTTTCCCTATTGCGCAATTTAAAAAGTTGCGACCCTAGGGGTACGTTAGTACCAGAATTTCGCTATAAAGGATGTTGAACCTTGAACCCACGATTTATACTTACGTACCTACGCACCAGAGCGTTTGTTCCAATTTAAGAATCCGAAAATATCTCTTTTTCGCAAAGGATTAAACATTTTCTCAGGTTCGTGGTGTGGATTCTTCTTGTAGTTTCTTAGTCTTGTAACGTTGAAATACTTTTGGAACTTACCTTTTGGTACTTTTACTTCCAGCTAGCTCAGGTATAAACATAGTTTAAGCATAGGAAAGAATGTAGTTCGTTTCTATGCCACTGATATTTCATTAATTGTCAATGACCTGTAAACAAGATTTAGAAAAATATTAATTCAAATTTTACACTCCAATATGTTTTGGAGAGTTTATGTAATTTTCATGTAGATCTCTCTTTGACGCAATAACTCTTTTTATACATTTGCTTTTGTAAAATAGCAATCATTCCAAAAAGTTAATAAAATGTAGATATTATTATTAAATGTTGAAATAATGACTCTAAAAGAGCGGTTCCCTAACTCTAATTGAAATAAAATTAAACCCTACAGCTGGTCCAAAATAAACAAGTAGAGGAAATATGTATTCTTAAATTTAAATAAACAAATCTATATCTAATAGGTAAACGTTCGATATGACGCAAACAAATACCTATATAAATTTAAATTTCACTCTCTTTCGCAATAAAATCCAATTAAAGGATACAATGGTACCTCTTTTAATTGACGTAATCGGATCAAGTCGCTGGCCTCAGGCGGATGGAGCTTATAACGCCTCGTTTCTAATTTCTGCATTGGTCTGATCTCTAGAAGACTTCGCGTAGTGGTTTTGGCAACTGGGCTTTTTCCAATTTATTTTGCTTAAAATCTTCCTGGTTCAATTTCTCCAAAAAGACAAATTAAAGCTGTTCCATGGGAGGCTTTATTATGCCAACGAAGTACGTTTTGTTTATTACCACGTTGCTATTTTTCGGTGAAGAATATTAGGCACTGAACTTCTTCTCTTTTGCTCACTTTTGTAATTCATTAGCCCTTAACTGTAGGACCAACCCTTATTTAAAATAAACAAATTCTAGGCCTAATTGTTTTATATAAATCGCAATAACTGCACGTTACTAACGTACGTACGTGGTCGCTTTCAGAGAGCGAATGCGGTTAATGTCTAATTCCCCGCGCACTTATTGAAACATAATTGTCACGCCATAACTGCGAATCTTTTGCTTACCCTACTAAAATAATCTACACTGTTAACTAAATTTCACCTTTAAGTTACACTATCAAACTCAAAGTCTACCCTACTGTAAAACGCCAAAAGAAAGTAGAAATAAGGGCATCCGGCTTTAGGTAAAACACGCAATGTTAAATGCGAACCACGTGAAGTGTCTACCCCTTCTTTGAAGAAACCGACGGAGGACGCTGTGGAAGGTTGGAGGCATGCTGGTTGCCTATGCTGCAAGGTTTACCTATTGACGATCACGATCATATTTTTGTCAATGATCGCACATCAGTTTATAAACCAAACGGCAAACAAGACAAGACCACGTATCTAACGATTAACGAACGTCGGATTTACAATTTAAAACTAGCATCTTGTAGAGGGAAAAAAGTGGTCATAATAATGTGTTATTTATTTTGAAAAAACTTTAAATGACCTCAGTAAAAAATAAAAATTATTTTGCAATTTTATTTTAATTTCCTGATATCTCTGAAAGTAGTCGGAATTTTTTCAGTTTCAAAACTACATTTTGTTAACTTTGCCAAATTTAAACTACCTACCTACCTATCTCATACAGTTTCCGAGATCCCCATGGTGGCCCTCGAATTTGAATCAGCCTGTATATACCTACAATGCTTATACAGAATTTTGCATTTCTCAATTTTTCTGTGGTACAGATCTAGATCATCTCAATATTACTAATAAGCATGTGGGACAGGGACCTCTTATGCATCCTTCCAATTAACACAAATTAATCTAATTTTAGAATCCACAAAAATTGAGTAGGTACCTAATTAAATTCCTGGTCATTTGTATATTAAGCAACACCCATAATTAACAAGGCCATGGAATTCACAAGCTAAGTTAGGTTCTGTTACAGAAGTGGATAAACCTTTAAATTACCACACGTGCTACCTAAGGGGATGAACTGACAAGAAAATTTGTTGGACCATCCCAGGTTAGTCTAGGTTACGCACCTTGCATATCAAGGTAGGACAACTTGAAGGCCCGAATAGGAAAACCACATGTGCAGGGATTATCCAATCTTACATTTGTAAAAACATATATTTGAATAAATTGGTGCCTTGAGCAATCCATACACCAAAAATTTATAATTTTACAAATAAAGCTTATTAAGGCTAGTGTACTTTGGATCAGTCGCCTCATCTCCCAACCTTTTTTAGATAAATAACACTATTATAATAAACATTTGTTGAGAAATGAAAAAACCAATCCTTACAATTATCATTAAACAATAGATCGCAATTATCGTTATATAGACAAACACATAGAGCAAAAATGATGGTTAGTAACTATTTAACACCTGTAATTCAAAATTTTTAAATAATAACTTTATTTCAAACAAAATTTTGTTACCCAGACTAGTATGCATTATTCCCAAATTTGGCACAATTGCATTATGATAAAGCTCTACATTTCTAAACAAAGTATCAGAATTAAAAAAATTAAAATACCAAGCCACAGTTAAATAAAATGTGATATTGTTTTACTCGCACATCTGTAGTAGTGAATTAATTGTACCATCCTTGTTGCCTCGATTAGCTTCAAAAACTGTCTTTATCACCTCTTTGTCAATGTTGGGAAACATTTCCTCGATCTGAAAATAATGTGCACCTACCAGAAAATCATACCACAACAACTTACCTGTTTTAATTCCGTTTCGCTTAATACATATGATTGTGGTGCAGGAACTCCTGCCGAAGGTGCTTGATAGACTGTCATCGGTGTGGCCACACGAGCGCCTACATTTGGTACAACCATAATGGGAGGTCCCATAGGATACATGCAGGGCTGAGATGCTGCCTACAATTACAGTACCATAAACTAAGTATCCATAAAGAATAAGATTTTTTTGTCAAATTCAATTACCGTTTCCACAAATAAAGTAGGATGGTTGATTTAAATCGAATCACAATCACTGATTTAAATCATCTCAACCCTGTTTCTTACCGAGTATGATAAAACAATATTAATCATTCCTTCTAAACCATCGCCAAGTTTACCGTTCAGTGGATACCAATCCTCGTGAGTTTCACCATTTAAAACTTGCTGAGGAATTGTAACTGTGGCCCACGCGATTAATTCGTCCATGGTAAACGAACGTTCGTCGTATATTTCTACTGATATGGTGTTTACACCTTGCGGAAGAATACACTGTGTAATTTTATTCCAGCGAGGATTTTTCCCCCCGTTGGCATCCGTATGCGTCTCATAGACACAGTGCCCCACCCGCACTCTGCAGTACGGATCCATACGAGCCATTCCATAATTTTTCGCTAATTTCGCTTGAGCTAACGTTATGCTTAAACGTCCTACCGGATTTGAAAGATATGAAGGTTGCGGACCTGCAAATTGCTGATGTAATGCTAAAGCCGCCTGCCGATCAGCTGCTTCTTGTTGCTGTTGTGGGGAAACTGAGATTCTTAGGAAGTCATCGGCCAGCTGACCAACCAGCACCTTTCAAAATCGCTCATTAATGTTGATCATACAATTAGTTACGAAACTTACCCGATTCCGCTTTTCTTTAACTTTTTCCGTCACAGCCGAAGCCATAATTTTTTCAATTACGTTCATCAAACATTAGCAGTTGACAACAAAATGAATCACAATAACAATACGCAAAATCAGCTGTTTTCTGTCATAATTTCAGTGACTTTTGGTTTATGCAACTGTGTCTAAACAACCGCCAGTTCTTTGGTCGGCAGTGCATATTTGCCCGGGAGATCCGAATGAGTAAGGAAACGCAGTTTTTAAATCATAAACCAATTCGAATATTCCAAGTTTCGCATTCACGAAGGATCTACGATTCAACAGAATTTTCCTACCAGATTTCGAAACTAAAACTATATCTAATATCTCCTACAAGCCTACATTTGTTGGGCTATTTTTTGTAAAGAGGTTATGGGAACTACAAGAGAGGTCATCCATTTTGGCAACATCTTTTTATGCAGAAACTACATTTTTTCATACAGATACAGACCATCCTATATACTTTGAAGTTTTCGAAAATAAAGAAATTTCCTTAATTTTATAGTATCACTTGTTATATTTATATTAAATATTATTTGCAATATTGTATTTTATACATTAAAATAGGCACTAAGTACAAGTCTAGGGGAATATAACAGCTTCAAACATGAATGTGATATTACTTAAAATAAAGTATTTATGAACATAAGGCTAGTGTCGAGCGCAACTCTTCTAGGTTACACTCTTATTTTTAAGTCGCTTCCATCTACTTTGAACAAAACGTTTGGTGGAAATGTTTTGCTCCCCAAAAAATATACCATAGGATTAATCAATGAGATTCTAGCGATAAATAAGATATGAAGCGCCAAATATAATAAACCAGAGTGTTGTCAGCATACATATGACCCGTCAAACTACCTAAACACATACAAAAATTTGATGTGTAGATAGTATTCAACAGTGGCCCGAGAATGGAACCCTGTGGAACTGCTAACCAAACAGAATAAACATTGTTCAATAACACTGACTGTTTTCTGCTACACAGATAGTTCCCCAGTTAACTAAATATGGCTATCAGTCTATCATGGTCACGTCAAAAGCCTAAAAGTACAAGATAACGGTACAGTACAATTTATTATCAATAATATACATAAGCAATGACGTATCCTACACATAAAAGAGAAATTACTGACTGGGAGTGTATCGAGTTTCAGTGTGTTAACAACTAAGTAAAAAACACTATGATGAAAGACTAATGTTATTGATACTTACTTTAAAATCGACACTCAAAAATTATCAACATAAAAATAGCGTTGCCTGCACCACTTTTACGTTGATAATTTTCGGGTTATGTTTTGAAAGTAAGTATCAACAAGATTACAACATTGGTAAATATCACATTTATACAAAATGAATATTGATTAAAATAAAAATAAATGCATTTCATAAAATTAATACTTATTCTGATTCATCCTCCTCGATCATCGATTCAAGTATTGACCTTTCAGTCTTATTCCAAATTCCGCTCGAGGTGCGTTTTAATTTTGAAGCGTGTATTTCGGGGAAAATTTCCTTTAAGTTGGGCGTTTCAGGACCGGAGATAAACAAGTCGTACTGGTGCGCATCCAAATTTCTCATTTCAAGCAAAGTTTGCTTCAGGATGTGCTTTTGCTGAAATTGTGGAATAACAATTGTCGCTCTCGCGCTATCATCTGAATCATAGCAGTCCGGAGTGGGTAATGGTGGGGTCGGTGAAAGGTAGGGAATTACACCGTCATCTCGTGGTACTTGATTTTTCTTGCTATCCTCCACCTTTTTCAGAGCGGCGGCGCGCTTTTGGGCTGCCTCTTCTTTTTGTTTGAGAGCTTTCGCTTCCTTTTCCGCCAACACTTGCTTCAACTTTTCCTCTTTAGTTTTTTCAGCGGACAACAATTGCCTTTGCCTCTGTTTTTCTTTATTCGCCTTTAACTGCTGAACTTTCATTTCTCGCTCTTCGCGTTTGCGACGCTTTTCCTCAATCGAAGATTGCAATAATGCCTCTTTCTTTTGCAATGCTTCCTGTTCCTTTTGCTGTCTGTGCAATTCGCGTTCACGAAATTCCATTTTCGACGCTTTTAACGCACTACCTGTTTTTCCAGCTGTTGATGGGGCGAGGTTTACATTTATTGTAGTTGATGAAACTTTGGGGGCAGATAGCGTTTGAAAGGTCTTGTATTTAATGCCGGTTACTGGGGTACCAAGCATCTTTGGAATTTTTGTTTTCGGAGTCGAAGTGGACATGTGAGGCACTTTCACTTCCAATTTTGCTTTGGATCTTGTAACAGTAGCATCAGGATTCTTTGCCAATTTTTCAAATACCTCTATCTGCGCGCGCGCTTTCGGTGTGACAGGAAGTTTGGCTTTAGATCGTGTGACACTAGTGGCCTCTGCATTCATTGTTTCCAATTTTTCAAAGGCCTGTACGCGTTTTTTAACTGGACTGCTCTCGTATGGACTAAAAATTTGGTTTCCTTTCCCTTGATGTACAGGTGGACTGCTGGGAACGAAATCTTCATCGTCCGTCATCAGATCGTCAACTGTAGTTGGTTTAGTAATGACCATAGTTTCGTTAGCAAGCGCGTGCTTCTCTTTTAAAACGGTGGGATTTGCTATACACACTGTGCTATTGCCTACTGCTAAATTATCATCTTCCGTATTATTCTCCCTTCCTACAGTTTCACCTTCACTAGAATTTGTCTCAGCATTAACTGTTGTCTGTTGATCTTCACCAGATGTACTACCTTGATTTCCACTTTGTTTGATGTTTGCTCTTTTGTCTCTTGCTCTCCGTTTTTTTTTAGGTGAAGAATCTTCATCTTCTGTTGAATTTCTCTTGAACGCGCTTTGTTCTTCATCTCCTTTAAAGGAATTTGTTTTCTTCTTCGTAATTTGTTTTTTCATTCTTACTTGTTGAGGCAATGCCGCAGCTTCACCATCGCTAGAATTCACAGTGGAATGTTCTGATGTCGAACGAATAGTTTTTTTTACATTTGCAGCTTTACCTTTCCCTTTCTTTTTCATAGGTGATGAAACTGTTTCCTTTACAAGTGTTGCATTTTGTACTTCCATTAGAGTTGTATCTGTATCAGTGTTATCTTCCTTTATTCTTTTCTTTTGAGGCGACATAGTAATCACGCCAGTGTCATTACTGGCTATCTGTTTTCTTTTCGAAGTTCTTTCCACTTGAACTGTTTTTCTTATGTTTTCAGGAAGCGGTTCATTTTCCTCTTTGTTAGCTCCTTTCCTTTTCGTGCGCGCTCTGGTAAGCCTAACAGGTTTATCCAGTGAATCATCCAGGACTATAACATCAAGCGGTGCTTTCGGTATCTCGATAACTGAGTTATCAAGAACCTCCACTTTGATTTCGGGAATAGCCACAACCGACTGATTTTTCCCTGTACGTTTATTTCGAAGAGGAGGCTTTGTCGGTGGTGGCATATCAATTTCTTGTTTCACAACTTCATCAGTGTGTATCTCTGTGTTTATTGTGGTCAAATCGTTTGTTGCTCTCTCAATCTTAATTCGCGTATTTCTTTGCTTATTATGATCATTGACAATATTTGCAATATCGGATAAAACATCTTCTTGTGGACGATTTCGTCTTGTGTAGCGCTTGGCACCAGGTACTGAGATATCTTCCTGAAGTGCTGAAATACAAATAAATAATAGAATTGATTCAAATATTGCATATCAATTTTTCTTGTGGTTTGTATTTCGATGTTTAATACCAATAACCTACTTCGGGAAGATTTTCAATATTATTAAAGGGCTGCTTTCGTATTCCAAAAAATTAAACTCAGTCCAAATAAATGGATCCTTTTTGATTCTTAATGACTTGAAGTTCGGCTTGAGCAAACCACCAAGACCATATATACACTGTGTCCAAGATAAGGATGTCTATTAATGTGATCTCTGAAACCATAGAAGATAAAACGCTGGTCAATCAGAAAAGATGCGCCATTAAAGCGTTATTATTTCAGGTATTATCATGCCTTAAAGAAAACCAGAAAATTCCGATTACTTCCGAAGATATACAGCAAAATCTGAAATTTCGCAATTTCTGATGTTTGAACGAATACAAAAAACACTTTCGCATTGCCACTTTTTGAGCTCTATCAGACAGCATTGAGAGATTTTTAATACAACATTTCGATTCCGAGAAATCATCAACTTCATTTTTTTATATGGCCCATAAAAGAAGTACACAATGTATTGAATAGCATTTTTTATTATAATACAACGATATACAGTACACAGTTTCAACAGGATGGTGCACCTGCGCACAACGCGCCAATAGTGCGAAAATACTTATTGGAGAAATTTTCCACTTTCCAGGAAATTAATACCACAGCTAGCTCAGTAATAAATAAACCTGTAATGACTCTTACCTTTGGTTCTTTATTTAATATTACAGGAAATTTCTTCAATAGGTATCGCTATTCTCGCACCATTAGGGCATTGGGGGCGGGTGCACCATCTTGTTGAAATCTTCCAACTTTTGTTTTTTACCATCTTCGTATCTTCTATGGTTTTCAAGCTCCCAATTATAAACATCCTTAATCATGAACACAGCTAATATTTTGACAGTCAAGTTCTTAGAATAACAGTTTTACTATCCAACCAAAATATTTAAAAAAAGTTCAAAATTTTCTGGCTTTGAAACTTTGAATTTTATAGAAGAACTTTAGGTAATCCCTATCACCACACCAAAATGCCCTCTTTCATTGTCATGTCGTACGCGCATAATTGCCAAATAAAATACTAAGTGTTTAGAGTCACCAGTTTGTAATTTATCTTTATAGAGTATGGCGCCCATAAAAAATAAGAAAGTGTAACTGATTTTTTTACTTAAAACTAGCAAGTCATAAAAATTGTAACATCAGAAAGCTAAGAAAAAATCACTCAGGATTTGTTAAAATGATTTTTTTATTTTGCCCAGGGACCCTTAGCACCACAGTTCAGCTTTAGCTGAACTGCGCCACACGGGCCTTTGAAAATAAATGAACATTTTTCGTTTTTTTGTAGCTACAAAAAAAATATGAAAGGGAAAATTAATCAGCATAAAATTCTACATAACTTCGCCCATTTAAGAGACTCTCCTACAGTTTACGAGATCCCCATAGTGAAAATGAAAAAAAAACTCACCCTGTATATAACAACAAGTGTATAATGACGAGGTATATGACAATAAAATTTGGGAACATTAGGGCTCAGATAAAGCACCAGATCAAATTCGATACGTTACCTGAATTATACCTTACCAATAAATACTGTCAAATGCAAGTGTCTGCTTTATTTATGATGCAAACATTATAGATTACACTTTACATAAAGTAAGCAATCCAATGTAAGTTTCGTAACTGCAAAATCTATCTTAAATCAGTACATAATTTTAATGTAAATCCTAATAATAAATTCAACTATAATGTTGCCCCAAAGTCTTACACGGAAACGATATACACAAATTGTTCAAAAAAACGCAAACGCAATTCAGTTTATTAATACGTGATGTAACATACCTTCTCTTGAAACAGCCGATACGGATGATATTTCGGATGATATGACGTGAAACAGTAAATAAAATAAATATTTTATTGCTAATTTCGAAAGTACTTAAAAAGCAGTTATTTTTTTATGTAACATGTTATACCCCCAACCGATTTCGCTGTTATAGCATTTTTCCTCAAAATCTGACAGTTTTTCGAATTTTTTTTTGAGAGAAACTAAATCGCGCCTGAGGCCCAGTTTTAAATTGAAATCGAAAAAAAGTTCTGAACTACCATAAAACGCATTGGATCGACCTGAATGAAATAGGAGGGGAAGGTTTTATGCTCGGTTTTATGAATTCTTTTGCATACACTAAGAAAGATTTTCCCAAAAGGGTTATCCGCTATACCTTAACCAAATACCAATTTAGCCATATTTGTACGGCCAACCATAATGCCAAATTTAACTATTGGTTATCCTTATCACTACTGAAATTTATCACTGGGGACGCATACCGGTAGAAAAATGTAGTCATGTTAGCATGAACCTTCACAAAGAAAAAAAAATTTAAATAACGGTCACCTTGATAGTCACTATGCAGAATATGATTATTAATTATCGCCAGAAGGACCTATCAATTCGTTATTTGGATGTTAAAAAAACTTCCAGATACAAAATTTCTTCTGTCAGTTTGTGCAACTCCCGTTTAGGGGTACACTGAGATGGATATTTCGGAAAAATGTTTACAAAATCTGAAAACAGTTGAGTGGTTACTAAACAATTAAATAATGTAATCGAACACGATTAAATACAGCGCACTTCTGAACATCCTAAAACAAACTGCTCTTCTCTGCACTCGTAAATCGATATTCCAACCTGCGCTTTTTTAGTAAACTAAACAACACCACTAGAATTTGAGAATGATAAATATGCGACATTCGAATGATACTTCGATTACACCCATCACTTGTGTTACTTACGTTTTTCCACGCTTTCATTTTTGTTTGTTGTTTGTGAAATATCTTGCACGAAACTGGTTAGTACACCTTGTTCTTTGAATTTCTCAATATCTTTCACAATGGAATTCCAATTGGCGTTTTCTCCTTCCTTTAAACATAATACAACAGAAGGGGTTACTTGAATACGTTGATAATATTTACCTCTAACTCAATAGTAAACTGTCTTAGAGCTTTAATCACATTTGGTATAATTTGATTTTCAATTACTTCCGTGATTTCATCCAAAACACTCATATTAAAATAGTTAAATAAACAACACCAAAACAATAAAACCGTTAAAAATATGCGTTAGCGCCGTTAGCCGACATTTGACAGACATTTGAAAAATAAAGTGTTTTCAGCGAACATTGGTGCCAACTTAAGTAATGCCAACGGACAGAAAACAAAATCACTGAGACACGAGACCAGTGGCGTATCAAATCAGGTGTTCGTTGGTTCAGTCATTGATGTTTACAAACAAATGAAATTACTCAATTATAAGTCTGAAGTTATGATAAATATTTATACATTAGCATATACTTATAAGTTGTCTTAATAAAATTGTTGTGGACTAAGATATAACTAATAATTGTATTATTTCTATTTATTATTCACTAATTACAAGGGGGTTGATCTCTTTCCCGCATTTGCTTTTCCACCGATTTGTGTTTTGTTACTTTCATTCCCGCTAAAGAGTTTGCCGTAATTTTGTTTTCGTTTTTCCGAAGTGATCGCCGCCATTTATGAACCCGTCCGATTCCTGGAGTTGCCATTTACTCCGGTTGGGTTTACACCCAAGGCTTCCGAGACGCGAGTCCGTCCGTCCGTTCGTTCCGCCGACAGAACACCCAGGTTACTACCGACTGCCGCTACTATATTACTTTATTTTTAAATGAAATGATTATTCCGTCAACACTTATTTAATTTTAAATCTCTTCTTTAGGGCTTAAATGTTACATAAACCATCACATCGAATTTTTACAATATGCGATATGCTTGTCTTTACTAGAAGGATCTTTCGTTAAAATTTCAAAAAAATATCTCTATAATAAGAAAGACATTGCGTAGATCTGGTTTTTACAATGTGTGATATCCAAATGAGTTTTATGCTGCATTAAAATGATTAAAAACATCATAATATGCGATATAATTTTAATGGCAGGTTTGGATTTTGGTACAGCTGGGGCCAGATAACGAGCACTCAATCTTGAATTATAGAACAATACAAGTGCTATGGGTTAGTTCCTTATGCGTCACTGCCAATGCATGTTTTTAATTAACTGAAGTTGATCACTTGAAATGTTTTGGTATAATTTATTTATAAAGTTTCGTTACATAAAATCAAAGTTTCCCACATCGTCGAATGGCTGTTGAGAATTCCCCCCAGGAGTGTTCTGCATCTGCTGTCCCATTTGAGGTCTAGGACCAGCCCCTCCAATACCTCCTTGCATTCCCATTAGTTGCTGCCGATATTGCGGTTGCTGTAACATCAATATCAGTTCGCGTGCGCACGCGATTTGCGAATGTTACCTGTTGTAACAGATGACGAAGGCCCGGGTTATTGGCACCCATCATTGGCCTCATCATCCTTTGCTGCTGTTGCTGATGCGGATTGGGACCCTGAGGACCACCTTGATTTGCAGCCATACGTTGTTGCTAGTTAAATTTTTTAATTCATAAAAATATATGTTTAGCTTATTAACATTTTATAGACCTCATCCTTGAGAATTCCCGGTTACGCAACAATCAGATCTACAATCAAAAATGAGCATATGATCTCAAGATATTTTATGTACAGCATATCCCATTTACCATTTGCGAGTATCTTAACTAGAATTTAAGTTAGATGGGTGGGGTTATTGAAAAAATAAGATTTGGAAACAAACCCAAAAGAGGGTTGGGCTGAGGGAAAGAGACCAGATGGCAACAAAACGGAGAGGGCATAGTACAAAAATTTTACTGATTTACAACTACAAATTCGATTCTTAGGGTATATTTCAAAGATATATTCAATATTTCTAAAATGGAAATTTTTTATTTTCTAAATCGCAATTTACAAACCGAGTCTTATCTTCAGTGATTAAAGCATAAATATTGTGGCCAACATCCACACTGTTTCTGTATTCAAGATTATTAAAGATTGAAATATCTAGTTCTTATGATTGAGGAGAACAGCACAAACAATCCTACAAAAGATGTTGCGTCCCCAAAATAGAAGTTTTACCTTTAGTTAATCCTTGCCAATTATCTCAAAAAAATTAGCCTTAGCACGACCTGTATATATTTCGTCTGTCCCTGTATGTATTCCCATTTAATAAATGCCGCGTATGAGCCGTCAAAGTTAGAATAAGCATGACTTGAATAAATTAATCAAATATTCGAGTGGAAGATGTCGTCATACAGCCGTCAAGAATGAGCATGATTGTTAAAATTTGTTGTAATTTGTACATCGCCGTGAAAGCTTTCATGGTTATCATCATTACGCAACCATCGCCTTCTTCTAAGAAGACCACTTTGAAGAAACAACAATACTTGTATGCTCCGTATCGACTTACAGAATTAGAATTAATTTACTTTATTTGTAGTTGGAATCAATAAACACGTTAATCATTAGTGTCGATATTTTTTCAACATCCCCAAAAGCATAGCAAGCAATTTTCAAATACAGTCCAAATTCTGCAATTGTCTTTATAGTACATATGACATTATTACCTTATAAAGGAACCACAAGTCCTGTGGATGGAGGGGCGTAGACATGAACTAACACCTGTTTCAGAATAGGAGAACTATCTAGAAAGTATGTTTGAACATTTTGAATAATCATTGACCACACAATTTTTTTTGTAGATGAAAATGAACCATTATACACGTCATCTACCGAACGTTGAATAAATATCAGGATAAATCGCTGACCACCTTGGTCTGGGGGGTAATTAGATACTCGGCTATGACCAAAGGGTTCCTAAATTGACTCTGGTTTTGAGCATATTGTGCCCTGTAAGTGTACAATGGGTCAGGTTACTAGAGCAGCCTTGGCATTCACTTGAAAGTAAAGACAAGTGAAAATAAAATTTTCAAAAACATAATTTTTGCAAGGACATTCTATATGTGATGGAGACGTTGGTCTAATTAAAACTTACTTTTCGATCATCCTCTAATCAAAAACCAAAATATAAAGCTAGTTAAATACAAGCACCACATTAAATGGGCATATGACCAATAGATTTTGCGATAAGGCTATAACGTATTAATATAACTAAACAAAGATGATATTCAAACCTTGATGATCTGCTTTTAAAAGCAATCGAATAATTTTGCTGATGATTATGAAGAAAATAATTATAAAAAAAAAACCTACGTCCAAAATCTTGTACTGCATCTCTTGTTGTTGGGCGATCTGTAACGCTTCCTGCAACTGTTGCGTTTTCATATGACTGATTCGTTCTAATTGACTCTTGTATTGTTGTTCTTGTTGTTGAGCGGCTTCGAGTGTCTGTTTCAATTGGTTGATTTTCTCTAGGTTCTGCTGACGTGCCGCTTCTAAGTTGTTATCGAAAGGCGGTCGTTGGAGGGGAACGCCCATCATGCCTGGAGACATGGAGGCGTTACCCCCAGACTGATTTACTTGAGTCGATCCTTGTTGAATGCCCTGCGTAAATTTATTGCTTACATCTACTAAACAAGATCCAGTTCTAAATGCTGCAATGCTAGGGCGCACTTACTTGCATTCTTAAGCGGGGCTGCATGCTTGTCGGAATGTTTTGACCTAAAACGCCACCGAGACCGGCTCCTGAGGGACTACTGGCTGAAACGATATTTTGTGTAATTTGTCCACCGCCCATTGCCATCGTGTTAGTTTGGGACATCATCAAACTTTGTTGTTGTGTCGTTGTCTGTGAGGTGTTGGGTACGGGTAATTGTGGAGGTGTACCTATGCTGCCACCTAGCGGAGATTGGCCGACCGATTGAGGATTCAATGTAGCCGCTGTCGCGGGTCCCTAAATATAAATAGTAAGTACTCGGTGAATGCCTGACGAAGTATACTTGGCCCTGGCGAAGCATTTGTGTTGACTTCTGTTGCTGGATTACTTTACGAAGACGGTCCACGAAAGCTGTCTGATCATTTGGTATGAATCCTAAATACGCTCGCTTTTCCGCCGTATAAAGAAGAATTAAGACTTTAATATCACATGCGTTTGGATTTGGAACGCTTGTAAAATGCACACAGCCAGCCTGAAATATAACTACAATAAAATTTGGGTTGGATCTCATGCAAATATCGTACAAAACCAGAACTCATAACTTTAGTTAAAGACTCGAGCGCTTCGCAACTTTGTGGATGAAACAAAACTGACTTGGAGTTTTTCAAGTAGGCTCCGCCAATGTTGCCAATTAATTGTTTTGGCATTAGCTGCATTATAAGTTTAGGTGGCCAACCATCAGTTTTTCTGGAAAAATTATGTAATAAGTACCAAATCTATTAAGCTGTTTATTGAGTTTGACAAAACCGCCATCTAGTGGTTTCTTTATTTCTCATTTTGCACTACATGTAAAATAAATTGTTGTATACCTCAATCGCACTATCTTGTGGACAAATTCAAAATTTTGTTGCTTTTTTAGTTTTTCAATCATACCGGAATTCTCTAACATCGTTGCTATAGTTGTTTAAGAACAATGACATTGGACTACTCTACAAGCAGCCTTAAAAAACGGATCCTATCTAGCCGAAAAAGAGAACCTGGGTGATCTATGGTTCAAGCAAGATGGACCTACACGACTCGAGTCTCTATGAACGTTTTGTGAAAAACGTTCCCTCAGTGTATGGGAATCTTAAGTCGCCTGCACATTCGCTAGCGATTGCGATTTTTTTCTTTGGGGGAAAAATCTCCATAAATAACAGAGTTGCCGTTGCGCAATCTGCGCATGCGCACACTTGATGTTTACCTTCGCTAGAAGCATCTCCGGTTAAAATTTCAAAAATTATCTCAATAAAGTAGTTTGTCAAGTTAGCGCATGCGCACATAAATCATAAATCAAGATTGTTCTTGGGCCAGCGGCCAGAGCTATATACTACCAGATACAAAAACAATGAACTAAATATATTGAAAACAGTAGGATTAGTTAAGGACTCCAACCGAGGCCTACGATACTTACAGGCCGGAGCGCTCGAAAAAGTCACGTGACGTTAGGAGTCATATGAAATACATTACGGCTTATGGAAAATCCGTGCGCGGCTCCACTATTTATTTTTTTACTCCGGATCCGTTCAACATAGAGCCACGAAATTTCAATGAGAGCTTCTCAATAGTACACACAATCAAATTATGGTGTTCGTTAATTTTTAATAACACTAAAAATAATTAATCTTTAGGTTTAAAGTATTGAAGATAAAACGATGTTAGTAAATCCGTCTTTTTCTATCTTTACAACGTCATATTTTTTTCTAGGAACTATATCATTATAATCCTTTCAGTATCTTAAACTAGAATGATATGCGCCTCCAATTATGCGTATATAGTGCCCTTATCTGGTATTAGTATAGTTTTAACAGGCCCTACAAAATCGCGCATTTATTATCCGCGCAGAGCAAAATTCACGATGCGAGAAACTTTTTTGTTATTGCTATAATTGTTACACATATATCGAATTAATTTGTGGCCAAAGGACACAAAAATGTTCTTCAGAAGGAAATTTTAAGAAATGATCTCTTGTTTCCTTTTTTTCAGCAACTGAAGTAAATAGCGCGATTTCAAGAATAAGTGAACGCGCAAAGGAATTATTGTTTCATTTTTCAAATAATTGTTAGTAATCGATTTTCAAATAAATTGTGCTTGTGAGAATTAAAAAATAAAAAAATAAATAAAAAAATTAAAAATATTAGTATCGTAGGCTTTCATCTTCGTTCTATGAATAAATAAAAATAATCTTTTGAATAAGGAAGTTTTAAAAAACTTTTTCCTCGACTTTTTCTATCCAACTTACAGCAGTTTTAATAAAAAGTACAGCTTGTAGAGAATAGGCAGTACCGGACTGGCCCAGGCCGCTCAAGCGGGGTTTTAAAATATGACTGTGTCTATATTTGTGAGACATATTAATTTTATATTTGTAAATTGGTAAGAAATAATTTCCTTTGCACGCGCCGATCATGGTACCTATTCCCAGAGCTGGACTGGGTTGGTAAAGGCCCCGGGCGCGCAATGATCAAAAGGCACCCACACTCAAGACCCCCCGTAATAGTAATTTTAAAATGTCATTTGCTTATCCTCCAATATGTGCCATGAGGGGTCATATCAATAAACAGATCAAAATTAATCGGAACCCCTCAACAGCCACACACTTACAGTTCAGGTTCGCCATCCTTAGTATTTGCTGACACTTGACAAGGAACATGTCGAGTAATTTTTTGTGAGTCGCTAGAATTCTTGGGCTTTTCAATCCATTCTAATAAACCTTGCCATATCGTATGACGTTCTCGACCTAAACCCGACTGATTAGACTGTTGCCCTACGGTAGCCTAATTAAAACAGTTGGATCAGTGACAAACAACAAGCCTTAGCATCTCACCTGCGATTGTGATGTAACAACTTGGTTTGGCGGTACTATTTGTGACGGATTTGATGTTTGCGAAATCGGGCTGGGCTGTGGTAATCCGGTCGACATGATTCCTGCAGTTTGATTGATGCCGGTTGTTTGGACGTTTTGCGGTAACGAGGTTTGAACGTTCTGTTGAGCGGCCTGATTGCTTAACATGTTCATTCGCAACTGTTGCTGTTGTTGAGCGTTCATAGAAGCATTTGTGCCAACTGTCAATAGAAAACAAAAAAAATAGTCCAGTGCTCAAAAAACTCTGTAGAGCGCACAATTTTTGAGTTTCAAAAAACAAAAAAATCTGCCCCCCACTCCTTATGCACACGAAAATGAGAAATAAGTAACAAAAACTTCCATACTTTGTGGAAACTGATTTACGCCCGCTGAGGAAGGTGGCTGTGTTAACTGAGCGATCAGTGCACTTCCTTGAGTGGTATTAACCTGCTGTTGCCCTTGGGCGATGAACTGAGGCCTCTGTTGAGTCTGTGGGGGCAACATTGTTGGCCAACGGTTTTGCGGTCGACCAGCGCCTGTAGTGTCTCAATTTAAACACTCCACTCCACTCTTACAGCACCTACCTGTAGCTGTGTGATACCCCGGTGGAACTTGCATGGCCGGAGTAGGATACTGCGTATTGCCTATAATTCCACTTCTAGCTGCATTCACCATACCTACATTAACCATTCCTGGTGTGTGATTTGGTAGTTGTATAATACCTAATTAAATTAAGAAACAAAAACAAAAACAATTTAAATCATTTTAATTGGCTTGCTAGAGATTAGATGCTCATAACGGACTGACAAAGAACCGATTAATCTCTCAGCTGCCATTATTAAAGCAAAACAAAAACAAGCCTAACCGAAAGCAAAACAAACCTTGAGGATTAGGCGGCCGATAACTTTGACCAACATTTTGTTGTACACCTACTCCACCGGTCACCGAATTTCCCATGAGGTTCTGATTTGATTGCGACGTGAGGGTTGATATTGGGCTATCGATATTTGCCACGGGACTTGGTAGGGATGGTAGCGGTAGTGCAGTTGTTGAAAGTTGAGTTGCGTTAGGTAAATTTCCCGGGGGAGGACTTATCGGCCGTTCCTTCAGACTGTAAAGAGGTTCAAAATTTTGTGCAGCAAGTCAAATGGAACTTACCTAAAACCTTTCAACAGCACCAAATGTCGGGGATCTTTCGCGTAATTTTTTGTTTGAGAAGCACTTAAATCGCCGCCGGCCTTTTCGAATAGTTTATAAAGGGATGGAATTTTACGTGGAGATATTACGGATAAGTTAATTCCTCGCTATAAAAACATTGTAATGAAATGAACTGTGCTGCCAAGGGGAAAACCACTTCAAGGTTTAGAAAATTTTTGCAGCTAAGTGGTTTTCCCCTTGTTTTATTCAGGTATAAACCTCCTGTAAAATTGCTGCAAGCTGTTCGGCCGTTTTTCCAGAATACGTGTGAGATTCCAAAACAGGTAATGAATACGGTGGCGAATTGCACACCAAAATGCAATGCTGCTGTGCATTGGAGCTCGCATCACGCTTCTGCTGCAATTCCTCGAAGCATTGCAAAGCGGTAGCTAAACCTTCTGCTATATTAGCATGGGACTCTCCTTTCCCTCCAATTAGCCTAAAACCGAAATTGCTATTGTAAAGCTATCATCAACATTAATACTTACTCCAATCTTTCAAAAGCATTCAGTACTTTCCCTGAACTAGAAAATGGCCCAATGGTATCAGTGCTCGGATGAGGAAGGCAATCGGCCGCTTGATATATGACAATTCCATATAAAGAGTTGGCACTTTCTGACAGATAATTAATCTCTTCCAAATTTCCTTGACTAAAATACCTGTAAGCACAAAGAAACTCAGCGATTTGCAATACATCTACTTACTTTGCCTAGTTTCCCAAATTTATCAGAAGTGAATTTTGTATCAATAACAGCAAGGTTACACCAACTTAAAAACTGGTACCTCAAACCGTTTCAATTATCCGTTCGTTATTCATCATGTGAAAAAAAGCTTCAGAATGAAAGATACTTACTCTAAGGAAGGTATAATATAATTCGTTTTAAGATCATTGATGTAGGCACCATTCACTGCAGTCCCCTCGACAACAAAAATAACATCGGCCTGCAAAGTGAGCTCGGGTGCACCCAGCACCATTTTAAATATAATTTAAAAAATTGTAAGTATAACTTTACGATACGACATAAACAGTCACATCAACACTAATAGGTATATAATTACAAATTAATAGTCCCACTAATTACCTTAAAGTTACAATAATAAATTATTAAATATAAATTAGTAAACAAATAGACATTTTGGATGGATTTAACCTCAATACTATAATACCAACCTTCATTTTAGTCGTTGATACCAACATGCGTTTGCGTTATTCTCTAATGCCTGGTTTACCTAGATATATACAGTAAACAGATTTTACTATTAATTTTTGTGAAGATGTTTTCTTCATTTGCAGTATCATCCAATTTATAAAATTAAACAGTGAAATTCAAATTGTAACAGATATACGAGGCGATGGCCATACAGTGTATGAATGTATTTTTTTCTGAAACGTGGAGTTCATTTGCCAAAAGGTTTGATTTAAACTGGATACCAGAGGAAGGGTGTAGTTGCCTCGAACAATATACTTAGGTTTGTATACGAAGTAATGCAACTCCAGTTTCTTTAAGCAGTTTTTAAACTTCATTGTCAAATTATGTACCTACTTCGATATGAATAGTTTTCAAAAGTCAAGCACTCTGTATACATCAAAAACTACACATCGTGTAAACTATGCTTAATTACCGAAGCGCAAATCGGAAGAAAACGCATACACAACATAACCTCAAACTATTTTGTTTTCGGCACATTACACGGTTTATTAAAATAATATAATCATGTAAGTACTTTTATATCATTAAAGACACCACGGCAAAAGTGTAGAGTGCCCCTGTACACAATTAGATTGAGTATGCGACTAAGGTTACTTTTAATTTTAGGGCGCTCACAAAGCCGAAATCGGAGATGTCATCGGAAGAACTGCAAGCACGCGAAGAGGAAGAATTCAACACAGGACCTCTATCAGTCTTGACGCACTCCGTCAAGAACAACACTCAGGTTTTAATTAACTGCCGTAACAATAAGAAACTGTTGGGTCGAGTGAAAGCTTTTGATCGGCACTGTAATATGGTGCTGGAGAACGTTAAAGAGATGTGGACTGAGGAACCGAGACCGGGCAAGGGAAAGAAAAAGTCCAAACCCGTTAACAAAGATAGATTCATACCTAAAATGTTTTTGAGAGGAGATTCGGTCGTTCTGGTTGTTAGAAACCCCATTAATCCTAGTAGTAAATAGTGTGTTTTTAGTTTGGTAAAAACAACGTATTATTACATAATTTTTGTAAACCGGAAGTAACTTTTAAGGTTGAAATTCTTATCTTTCATTTATTTAGTATGGAATACTTGACTTACTTTAAGAATGAATAAAAACATCAAAGACTATTAGGTTTCTTTTAAAATAATACTCAGCTCTTTACACGCCTCCACGGTTTTTATAACCGGCAACACTGTGGCATTTCGACTCCCATCTGGTTTTACACTCGCTTCTTATCTTAACGAGCTTCATTTTCTCGCATTAGTTCTGTTCTCTTTTATTATGGAGGTGGTAAATTCAAAACCAAAATTTTCTATGCCTAACGCAACCACTTCCCTCGGTATACCATTTGTAGCGTGAAATCTTGGTCCAACCAGCTGCAGAAGACTACCTCCTCAAAACTTTGCACAATTTTTGGAAGGATATCTTCAAGAACACCTTTGGGACAATGCTGTAGCCATTAAAATGAATACAGGGGAACAAGTGCCACTATATCTGCGCCCAGAATATCAACAAGGCAACCAAAGGCTACTTCATATCATTGGACCACAGGACCAAACGGGTCTAGCAAGGTGCGCAAATTATAATAGATCTTCTATAAATTATCACATATTCCCGTCTGTTCAACAAGAAATGTTTGAATAGCATTCATAGTAGAGAATGTAGACTCGCAAAAATAGGTAGAACCAAAAATGATGTCAAGTATAAAGCTATCTTCCTTGGACACAAGAACTTTTTTTTGCAAATCAATTTCCAAAAATCAATGCTACCAAATGCTCAAGAGCTTTCAAAAATATAACAACTTTGTATATTTTCACCTTTTTCTAATTAATTCATTTATCACTCGCGGGTTGACCTCTTGGCCACCCATGACATAATGCTTACTATCCTCCTTCTTTTGGGTGCTGCCGTTTGCACTGCTATTGTGGGTCTTCTATTCTACAAAGAGTAGAGATAACGTATGCTAATACTGCAAATACTAACAATTTCAATTGTGGCAAGTGTGTATGACAAGAGTTTAAGCGCGAATAACAAAAGACACAACTGGTCATGTAGATCAGTTTGTATTTAATAGCAACATCAATATGGCTTTACAGCAGTTAAATTGCACAGCACATTATTAGAACAAAAATTATAGAGGATGATGTTTCTGTAAAGAGAACGATTGCATCCACAATATACTTGAAAATACTATTGCCCATGTATGTATTGGACAAAGTAAACATGCCATAATACCGTAAGCTGACCCAAAGAAGTACGCTAGAATGAATTGACACGCTAAAATTATAAAAAACGGAAGATGAAGTCCTATCTTTATAAACCAAGACACTTTCTGAAACCGCAAGAAAGACTGCATCCTAAAATAACAATTAACTTATGTTTTACGTTATCATAATGACTCACCGATGATCCACTCCAAACGCCAAAACAAGTATTAGAGGCAGTTGAAATATTAATAACTACAAAATTTTGATATAAATAGTTAAAAAGTAACAATGCATCCTACCTGCATAAAGCCATAAAGGTATGTAAAAGATCCTGTTAAGAACACACCATTGATGTGTATGCCCCATACAAAAATAGCACCAATATGATCTTCGATGATGTAGCCGACCGTCCAAGGTCCGGATGACAAATAAATTTGGTATACCACCAAAGGCCAAAAAATTCGATCTACCGATACTACAGTCCAGAGCTTTCTATAACATATACACCCAGAGCGACAGTTTCGTTGATCAGTGTTGCCTCCTGGAATTTTTTTCATTAACACTAACTAATGCTAAGTTTATACAATCATTCTCATAAGGTCATTAAGAAATAGCCAATATTATGCGTAACTACCTTGGTTTCCATTGGGTATTTTTTAATCATCTTATTTTAGTGGACTAATGATAATGATTGTATAAACCCACCATAATAATAGAACATTATGTCCCATTTTTTATGTTATTAAAATGTATGCCATACAGCCATACATAAAGGAAAGGTTTTGTGACTCAACCATGCTTAATCTGGTATAGTGAGTTATCAAGAAGGTATCTAGTTCAATGGTTTGTAAGTGCATAATGAGTTGTGTGGGCAAAGCAACTTTGGCTGAAAACACTCCACTTTTAAAAAATAAAAGAAAATCATAAAAAAGGGGCATTGTAAGAATCACACTTACTTCTAATATCTCGATACTGAAGCAATTTGAGTAGTAGTAAGGGCGCCAAGATCAAAATGTTCACAATCCAAAACATTAACTTGAACTGAAAAAATAAAAAGTTTATCATAGAGGAGTAGTACAAATTTAAGTGTTGGCCCCATACACCAATAGCCCAGTCAAATTGGACAAAAAGCTAAGCTTTTCCTTAATTTGGATCAAGTTGGAAATAAGTTTCACTTTTAGCAGTTTAAAATACTACTAAGGGCCAGTTTCATAATCACGCAAGAGTCTCCTTTAACTAAAGTCCACTCTAATGAATAATTAATGTTGCTATTGAAGACAAACTATATTCTATGATATTCGTTACAAGCTACCGTATCGATATTATTGATGTTTATAATTTTTAACTCAATATTATTTTCCACTCAAAATGGACGGGTTCGTCCATAACAGCCGTCTTAATTTTGACATAAAATTAAAAGAGACTTTTGCGTAATTTTGAAACTGGGTCGCGACCTTTTAATTTTCATCCAAGAACTGGCCCTAGTTCATGTTTTTTGATAGTCACTTTTTTTCAGTTTTTAGTTAAAAACAAATGAATAAAATTAAAACTACATTAAATTCTGAGAAAAAGGCGTACGAAGAAACGCATATGATTTTCAGTAGCGAAATTTTTACCACTCGGTTCGCATTTGCAAACCAGACTTTTAATACGGCTCATATTGAGTTAGATGAGGAACAAATGGATCAAACATCACATTAATTAAGCAGTTCTTCACATAGAGGTGCCTCTCGAGGTGCCTAAACTGGGCCCAACAAAATAGAAAAAATTCTATATTGTGGATTAAGTATGATACAATGTTAATATGTTTTTGGGGAAAAACTGAGCAAGATGGCCAAAATTTGCTGTTTCAATATCTCTAATCTTAAAATCATTTCCAGCTGTGACTGGGCTACCATTCTTAAAATCTCAAATGTTGGTCTCAAGTCAATATTAAATCATTGCTAAATCATTGCTTTTATGGGACTTGTCCACCTCCAACACTTATAATTACTTCTTTGCAAATAACAATACAAACCACAATATTTGCACTTGTCTTTAAAACAAATGTTGGTAAAAGACTGAAAGATAGTTTCGTTCCATCTAACGAAAACGACTGTGTCTCATACTTATTCCTTCCAAAGGCATCTTTGACATGCACCTAAAATCTTCATGACACATAACTTTACATTTGTATTACTACATGATACCTTAACGTGGTGAAGACCTGTACTGTACATTTTAGGATTCCAAGGGGCTGCATATAAAGGACCATCGATGTTTTCACATACTGTCCAGTTTTCATTGTCAACTCGAACTTTTACAAATTCTATGGGCGCAATAGAAAACACTAGGAGACGAACATGTGTCGATTCTCGAATAATTTCTAAATTTTCTTTGTCTGGGATTACAAACAAAGCGTGCTTCGGATTTGTAATTAAAATCTTAGGCCAATCTTGATGTTTGACATCAACAAACGAAAGCAACCCATGATCAACTGCCAATAATCGATACCTACACAAGGACAACACCATACCAACTGAACAAACACATTCAAACAATCGCTCACATTCGATTTTCTTTCCAATCTCCTAACTCGAGCTCCAAGAAACCCTCCTCGTGCATTGTGTACATCTCCGGAACAAATGTATGCAAATGCCCACATAAATACACCAGTCCACGTCCATGTCTTCCTATAAGTGAGCGTATTCCACCCGGTTCATGACTAACAACACACGAAGTTGGATAATGACCAAACCATATCGTATAGCTACTATCACTAGATTCCACTTGCTTAGTAATGTTATCGACGACTTGTGCTTCTCCAGAGTCTAAAAAGCCGGCAAAATTGAAGGGGAATCGAGGTCCCGTTCGTAGAGTTACATCAACCGCGATGAATGAGTACACATCGCCGTTCTTGTCCAGCTGGTACAGGTATGACCGAGGGTTTGCCTTGCCCCGTACGGAATAATTCACGAAGTAATTCTGATTTGATTTCAGATCAAGCACGTTGAAGGTGTCTGGAAATTAAGTGTTCATTTGTATAGACACCATTGAGTGAAAGGTTTGGGAAGAGTTTCCATTGTTCATTATTGCATTATTATTGCTACATGGTTTTTCAATTTTATCATTTACAATATCCCTATTTAAAATTAGGTAATGTTTGCATGTAAATCTTGTTTAGCTTGCCCTTTTGGCAAAAATAATACCTCCAAAAACTGATAACTTTGTAACTGTGGTTGTTGATTCAGTGGAGGGCTGCATGTTAACAACATTTAGTTTGTGGATAGTAGAGTACAGACATTTGAAGAATGATATGCTATAGATCCAGTTGCTTCTCTTCCCAAATCCTTCAACGTTACCTTTGTTTCTGAATAATAACTAACCATGGTTGCCTCTGATATCCAACCATACCATGTGTTGAGATACATTCAAACCAGTTAAGACGTTTTGGTAATTGGACCATTCTTTTTCTATTTGTTGTGTAGTAAACCCGTCCGAATTTCTACCATCTGTTATATCACCGGATGCAATCACTAGTGAAGGTTTAAAAACGTTTATAGCATTTTCGCAGAACTCTCTAAACTCGGTCAGGCGAGATGGGTCTTTGAATGCACTAATGTGTATGTCCGATATCTAAAAGCTTGATAACTTCTTCGTACTTTGATAAAAGGTAAACTCACCTGTAAAAACCAAATTAAGTGGTCGCTTTTGTTGGTCATGAACAGTTTTTCAGTTTGAGGCTTTGGTTCAAATTGTTGAGGAAATACATTTAAAATACTTCTTGAAATAATTAAAAGAAGTGGCCAAAATGAAAGCATCACTTAACCTTTAAGACACCCCATACAGACGACTAACTGCAAGAACTGGAGAAAATTACCGGTGAGTAACGTAAGAATGGGCGATTATCGTTACTGTAACAACAAAAACAGCTGGTAGTGACGTAAACTTTGACGTTTCATGATATGACAATTGCCAGCAATGTTGCCAATTCTATTAAAAATATTGTCAGGAGTCACAACCGGAATGGATATGCGAGAGAATCCCCAAAGGGGCACAATCCCAATGTGGTGTCCTTTACGTATAATTATAGTAAATTAATGCAGTCGAATAAGAGAGAAGAGCAGTTCTACAGAGTAATAATCACTATCATTAAATAACAACAAGCGAGTTACTTTTTTTGAATAAACTCCTTTTTAGTCTTCCGAATCTTAAAGTTTCCGATTTGATCCCTCCAAAATGCATCAGCTATGGTATTTTGTTCGAAATTTCATTCATTTTGAAAATCTGCTATGATGTAAAGGGCGTTCCACTTAAAAAATGGGTATCTTCATTGAATATTTTCAACACATTCTAAAACACCTATTAGACAGCGTGAGTCTTTTTTGTGATGATGAGCATTATGATCTCAGATCAGAAACCATTCATAGTAAAAGAATTTTTCAAAAACTAATTTAATGTGCTCTGTGTATTTTAAAAACAATAAAATATGATTGACTAAATCTAGATATCTGCCAAAAAATAATTTTTTTAGATTTACTTCGTTCAGTTATAATTGTTAACGTTAAGTTTGGACTTTCGTTTTTTTATAATAAAGACTATATCGGTAGTGAATTTTTTTAATCTTTCAAAGCTAGGGAACCATTCAAGAAAGTTTTTAAAATAAAAATCCGGTAGTAACATACCGACAGCCGGAGCGACAGGCAAAGCAGTCGTAGAGGATTTTTTTGACATGCGCTAAAAGGTTGCTTTTCATATAATGTTAGTCAATACCCAATAATTTTTGTATGAGGAGTAAAACGTAATTCTAATTTACACACTTACATTTTGACGTGTAGGTACTCGCACCGCGAAGTCTCAACACAAACTAATCAAATTTTAACGTGCATATTCGTTTTCGTCGATAATGCACAACCTTGTCTTAGCACATACGAATTATGTAACACGATAGTAGACTTATTGTGATTTCAAACGTCATTGTTTTTTGGACGTTGGTTGCTATCGAAAGGTACATAATTGAAACTGTAATAAAAGTCTAAGCGAAGCATAAAATGTGGGCTTATTCAGGTCTGGGGTAGTAGTATAATAATATAATATAAATATAATTTTGAATTTCAATAAAAATGCATCCAATTGTTTATTTGACGCCAAACAAGAGATAAACAGTCATTTCTGTAAAAAGTGTGTACCGTTGCAGTTTAGTTAGGCTTACAACTAAATCTAACTTGGCTTCTATCAGATTACAACACGAGAGAAATATACGTTCTTTTAGCTTTTTTTTGTGATGATATACCCCCACAGATAGGCAACACACCTCACGACGAAAAAAAGTTCAAGACACCGTTCTGTGCAGTGCTTGAAACCGTCTTGCGAAACCCAAATATTTTGCTGCCGAGTACACAAAGATACTGAAATTCACCTCCATGTTGATGAAACAATGTAAGAAAACACAAATCGTTGGACCAAATTAAAAAACATCCCGTATAAATAGATCTTTTGTGATACACTCTGGTTGCTTGAGACAGCTCCAGTTTACACAAAAAGGTAGCAGGTAGGTACTTTAAACACTTCAAGTCAAGGTAAAATATTTGTGACTCATAAACAAAATTAATTTATTATAACAATTTCATAATTTGTTGCTCCCCATAATAAGCCATACGCCTTTCTTTATATACACGTAGCGAAAATGGAATGGTTATTTGGAAAAAAGGTAACTCCCGAAGAAATGCTTCGGAAGAATCAAAGGGCCTTAAATAAAGCAGTTAGGGATTTGGAACGAGAAAAACTGAAAATGGAGCAACAAGAGAAGAAAGTTATTGCAGATATTAAGAAATTAGCTAAAGAAGGTCAAATGGTAATTACGCACACTGTAGCGTTAAACTTTAACCAGGGATGGTTTTAGGATGCAGTTAAAATCATGGCAAAGGATTTAGTCCGAACTAGGAAGTATGTGAAGAAATTTATGTTAATGAAGGCGAACATTCAAGCGGTGTCACTTAAAATACAAACCCTACGTTCACAAAGTGCAATGGCTACGGCTATGAAAGGTGTTACGAAGGCAATGCAAAGTATGAACCGTCAGCTAAATCTTCCCCAGATTCAACGGATATTGCAAGAGTTTGAGAAGCAATCTGAAATTATGGATATGAAGGAGGAGATGATGAACGATGCTATTGATGACGCAATGGAAGGTGATGACGATGAGGAGGAAACGTAAGTCACCTTATTTCACCCTTACTAGTTATTAACCAATTGATTTTTGCAGTGATGCTGTTGTTTCACAAGTATTAGACGAATTAGGTTTACAATTGAATGAAGAATTGGGTAACCTACCACAAACAGGTGGGGCCTTACCGACTAAAGGTCAGCGGCAACCAACAGCGGCTGCTGCAGCAGCAGCAGGCGGCGGCGGTGGTGGTGGAGTTGTAGGTGGTAATGGTGGTAACACATTGTCCGATGCGGATGCAGATCTTCAAGCGAGACTTGATAATTTAAGGAGGGAATAATTTTTACTCAAATTGTTAAAAATATTATTGAAGCTTATGATCATTTTGTAGTGAGACGGTTTTTCAAATTATTTTTATATACATTTTCTGAATATATATTATGTAGGTATTGTTAAATTGTAAAGTGCAACTAACAATTATAAATATGATTAATGTTAGATTTTTGCTTTTTTAAGTCTTAAAATCCTTTCTGTACAGTTCTATGAAATATATAACTCTAACATTGAGGGATTCTTATTTTAAAACCTATGTGGGGGTAATGAAATTATAAAATTAAAAAGGAGGAAGAAAGGAATTCCATTCTCGAATCTACATGGAAACCACCATACTATGGAAGAAGCCTCTGCAGTAGAGTCATCAGTTATAATGCAATAGGGGAGTTCTTCCTGGGGGCGAAAATTCGGGAGACAAATTTGCTTTGTCACATAAATGGAAAAACTTCTGGAACTGGATATTAGTTTTTCTAAGGCCTAGTTTTAGTTGCAACATTGACCGTGAATTTTTCTTGGGACTCGATAAAAGTTTTAAAAATGGGTTGATATTTCTAATCAAGTCGTTGATCTCATCTTTCCAAATCCGGAACTTGGGAACATATAATGACAAAATAAAAAGATAATAATTAGAAGAGTAGAAAAGTTTCATAGCATTTATAGCTCAGTAGACAAATAAGTATTAAGAATATAAACCTTATAATTCATTTGAACATTATTAAACTATTCGGACATAGGTTCAGGGCTATTTGTAATATCATCCAAGGAACTGTTTGCAACATCGTCCTCTTCCAAAATCGCACGCAACTGATTCATACTCGACACTGAAACATGGAAAAGCTTCCTTCTCATCTCCAATTTCTGTTCCAACTTAGTCTTTTGCTCGCGAAGTTGATTAAGTTCCGCCTTCAAGTCGGCCAAGTTTTTATCGGTGTCCTTGCGTGCGGGTTGCTGTTTAATACTTTGTGCCAATAGATCGTACATCATACGGTTCTGTTTTAATACTTTAGCTTGCACCAGATTTTGTTTATTAACTTCTATCGCCTTCTTACAATCGGCTATTTGTTTCTCGAGCTTCTTCTGGTACTGCTGTCCCTTTTGTTGTTGTCTCCCGTTAGCCCTTAGACCGACCTGTGATCGTCTCGAAGCCGATTCGCACTGATCTATTTGGGCTAGCATGCGATCGTAAAGAGTACGAAATTCGGGAGAGGTTTCGTCACAAAAATTGCCCCATTTGAAGAAGTTCTTTAGTAAAACGTTTAGGCGACGGTCGTCACCAGTGCCATCACCATCTATCAGTAATTTTCGTCTAATTACTTCCTCTGGAATTAAAGAATTAAAAGAAGTAAAAAGGAATAAAATAGACACTATTCTCTTACCATCAGACATATTGATTTAAGTAATAATTTAGAATAAACACGCAAACAAATAACAAAAATTTAATTTAGGTTATGTTTAAAAAACATATAGGTTACAACCCATAGAATACCACTTCTTCGTGAGTCTATTCTTTGCTCTGTAGTCTATGGTTATGAATTTTAGAATGAGCAGTGGCGTAGTTACAGATCGTTTAATAATACAAGTGCCACCATGCTCAGAAAAGCCCCGGAAAATATGCGAACTAATTTTGAAATAATTCAGGCTGGCCAATAGAAAGTCTGCAAAACGACGCGAGACATTCCGCGCCATAATTATTAATTATTCGGTTTTGACAGTTGACGTTTCACGTTATTTTAGTTTACACTTTGCTTCTTGTATTTGCTTTTTTTTACGTTTTCCGTCTCCAGTTTTATATAAACTCGTCTTTTTCAAGACGCATATAGCTTGGATCTACGATCTGATAAGGTATTTAATTCTCTTCGTGTTTTTAAATTTTGCATCAGAATGTACGGTCTAAATTTCTAGCGCCCTCGGACACGCCCTGTCAGGGACTTTCTGAGCGTGGTGCCACTGTATATTGTGCTTTTTAAACTAGTTTCCATATTTTGACGCTAATATATTTTTAAAATGAATACTGAGCGCAAAAAATAGAAAAACATTGCAAAAAGTACACAATATTAAGCGAAAACTTTGAAGCAATTTCTGTGATTTACACTAATCAATTTAGTATTTAGCCAGAGCAAGATGTAATAGTTATTTATGTATTAAGGGCATAATAGCACAGACAACATATACTACAGACGGTCAATGCAATGCTGTAGAAATAAACGCAACACCTAATAGAGTACGGTTAGTGTGTTGTCTACCTTGAAGCAGTCGAATTAATTTGTTGTAAAATGTGGTAGACGCACAGAAAACTGTTGTGTGTGGTAAAAGTGTGTAATAGATGGAGTCATTTTTGTAAAAATAAAATACATATACTCAAACCTTACTTCCTCGGCTTCAACGCCGGCCTTTACGTAGATAAGATAAGCGCTCACCGCTCACTTGTATAACATCATAAATTACATGAAAGAGGATACATTTTAATTCTTCATTTTTCGCTTTTCTAAACATTTAAAAAATTGATGGAGCGAATTTGGTTATACAAGGGCGGAAACTAAATTTAGCCTCCACATATAAAATTATGAGGTTGGACAAGGAGAGATTTTATTAGAATAATAAACATAATTTTTGTTTTTCCATAATAAATATATTATTATACCGGGTGGTGACTTGAACAACGCACCATAGGAATTGCAATAGTAATTTTTTCATTTCTGATTATTGACTTCTGTAATTATTTTAGAGAGAAAGTCTATTTAGGTTTTTTGTAGGGAAACAAATTACGAATCCATGCATACTATAGCTTTTAATTTTCTGAACTTTGAATTCCAGAAATTGGATAACTAAAAACTTGCGCTTTTAAGAAAATCAGTGGTGCCATGGCAATTTGAAATCAAACATGGCAAATGCAGGCGCTTTTGTTTGATTTCCTAACTCCATGGAATTACCGACTTTATAAACGCGACAGTTTTTAATTTTTAAATTTTTACTGATTCTGAATTTATCAAATACGAAACAAGAGTATTTACCGATTCGTTTATATAATTCGAGGTAAATCTTTCACTCACGCCTTTGACGCTCCCGACGAAGGCGACGACGGGCGACTTCACTTCAGCGCCCCCCAGAATTGGCGTCCAGGGCCTGGGCCCCCCCTCGCCCCTCCCCCTCGCACGGCCTTGCCTACCTATATGTATATGTGATATTTATTATAGCATGATCTGTGATAATAACATCACAAAATTTTTTGATTAGGGAAGGGAGCACTTAACGAACTTTATTTATTTTATGTCAATGTATAGGGTCAACATAGTCCAGCCAATTAGCTCCAAAAGTATTCTAAACTGGATGTTGGCATTTCACACAACGAAACCAAGTGTATTCTAAGTAGTTCCCTGCCCGGATTCTCCCGGAACATATTGCTATATACACAAAAAAACCAAGAAAAAATGGAAAAATGCAGTTTTTTTCGCATTTGACTTCCAATTATCTCGTCAACTAATGCTCGAGCTCATAGAAATGAATTTGTTTCGAATAGAATTTTCAGTTGGTACAGAACCGTTCATTTGTAAATGTTATTGTTTTTTCTGGAAAAATACAAAAAAAGTAATCCCAAAAATTAACATTTGTTTTTGTTGATACGCCCTTCTCGATGCTTTGTCTTTCAAACTGGATGACTCCCAGAGCGTTTTAAATATTTTTATGGATGGTGGAACCGTAAAACAACCTATTCCAACAATTGTCTCTGTTGTCCCGATGAGTTTTGCAAATCGACGGACTGTGGAATTAGTTTAGTGGAAACCCCAGAAATAGAACAAGAAAGTAACTTTATAATAGGCCCTTGGCACTCTGTTTAATAAAAATCATACCAACTGTATCTGATAGAAAAATCGATTCTAAACAAATCGTTCTCTTCATTTTTTCCGTAAGAGGAATAGTTAACGAGATACCTAATTAAGTTAAATGCGAAAAAACGATATTTTCCCATTTTTTCTTCGTTTTCTTGTGTATAGCAATATGTTCCCGGAGTTTCCGGTCAGCTAGACTGTCATTTACGGATTCAGGGGATTTTTTGCATACAATACACATGGGCCCGTATGAATAAAAGTAAGCAAATGCTTACTTGCAAAATTCAAAGTAAATACTCGTAAGTGCTCCTTCGCACTGGGTGACTTAGCAGCGCTTCTAAGCAGAAGGACAGGACGCAGTGCAGCGCTGCTAAACCATGCTAAACAGACCAGTATGAAGGGGCAGTTACGAGTATTTACTTTGAATTTTGTAAGTATATAAGCATTTGCTTACTTTTATTCATACGAGCGCTTGTTTCGTTGAGTGAAGTGACAACACACTAAACCGGCAGACAGTAATAGCACAGACTAGTATATGTTGTCTGTGGTAATAGATACAAAACTATAAACCATCTCGAGGATCGCTATTAAAACTTTGCTTTGTGACAATTTTCGTAGGCAATTGCACAAGTGCATCAAAATGCTCTTTTAACAAATTATGAAAATAACCGAACGCAGTTTTTTACTGATAAGATATTTGAATAAACAAGTAAAAAGGTTTTCGCCCTAAGGCGAGTAACTTCAGCGCATTTTCCATAAATTGATCAATACTTCCCCAAATGCCATACCTATGTGCGCTACGTTTTTCATTACTAGATGCATATATGGTTAAAATGTTAAAGAAATATCTTCATAAATAAGGAAGTTGACACTTTACTGCGCAGTTGATATTGCGCGTCCTGCGCATGCGCTTATTAATCTGATATTTACAATATGCAATACGTTTGCTTTTACTATAAGTATCTTTGGTTAAAATTTCAAAGAAATATCTCCATAAATAAGAAAGTTTGCATTGCGCAGTCTGCGCATGCGCACATCTGATTTTTACTATATGCGATATATTTGCCTTTGCGCAGTTCAATCGTCAAGATTTTCTTTGACTCAGGTGCCAGAGCGATACGCTACCGAATGCAAAAAGAACGAACTAAATATCTTGAAAACTGTAGGAGTAGTTAAGGCCTCGGACAGACGGACGGACAGAGAAAGTGGCTGCAGTAGCGCACCCAATTTCGTTGGAAAATGCGCTAAAAATTATCAGGTTTATTTTGATGCACGAGTGTAATTCGGGGGAATATTTCCCGAATAGACATTACAAACTCACCTTACCTACTTATCAAATTGTTAAGTGTATTCCCATGAAATGTGCAATTAGCGCAGGGCTCTTTCGTTTTCTACAATGCAATTACCGCCGTAATTGACCGATAACTGCACACCTCAAATGGGATTTATTACATGATGAGGCAAATATTCATTCGAAAATTGCTTATGTTTAGGTTTTCTTTACCCAAGTTAAATGAATTTAAATTGCTGATTGCAAGATTTATTCCACAAACGGAGAGACAAGTAGGCAAGTAGAGTACGTAGGTATATAAAAAAAACACGGAGATTACACTTTTTTCGAGAATTCGAAAAGTGGTGCAAGTTATATCGTTTCTTATGCACCCAAAGACAACGAGTAATACGTAATTGCGAATATGAAGTGATATTTGCTTTGTATGTGTACCTGCAAAGATTATCAGCACTTCGCCCAGATGTAAATATGGGGATTTCTTGCGAGAGTGGGACAGCTTTCTAATAATAAAGTATCAATACTTCTTTCCCTAGACAATTTGCAAAACCATTCCAAAATAAGAAATCTGTAGAAGAACCAACACATTGTTGTATGCGCTAATAGATGGAGCAAAATAGAGGGATAGCAGGTTTTTAAATAAGGGGACATGTGAAACAAAACTTGGCGTGCTTTTTCCCCTTAAGATTGACCGTCTGTAGTATATGTTGTCTGTGATAATAGTGATGTTTATATCCTCGAGGGCGACGAGTTAAAAAGGTCGAGGGCCGAAACACATCAGTTTATGCCCGTGGTACATACAAACTCAGTCCTTTAGCTGGAAATGAGAGTACAGACGGACAGGCAGACAGACAGACCGACACCATCGAGATTTTGTTTGATTCGGATTCCTGATGGTACGTGTCCATCGGCGGTGGGACCAAGTGGTTAACCTGTGATGTCCCCATGCTTGCTGCAACTTGACAGTTTACTCGATTGACGCACACGCACAGGAATTTTAGAAACTATACATCTCCAAAGGTCCTAAAACTTGCGTTTCATATTTATTTCTTTTCTGAAGAACCACAACAGATAGAAGGACGACACTTGCCGCAAGTTCTGGTAATTTTTGTGATTCTAAAACATCTACTAACCTCCAAGGGGATAAATATGCCAATAATACTCACATGATTAAGGAAAATTTTGGGGTTTTCCCAGGAACATACACGCACTGTACCTTCGAGAACAACAATGTAGAATTCATTGAAAGAGCTGGATCCTATTGGTATTCCGACTAAATCGCCAGGATCAGTGGACGTTACTAAGAGTGTTGTAGAAGGAGTATCATCAGCAACACACGGTCACCTCTGAAATCCATTACCACCTTCTATCAGAGAGGGATATAACTTTTTGTTGGTACAGGTCTCAAAAGTTCTAAACATTCTAAATATCCCATAAGGATTTTGATATGACGATTTTATGACAATTGTAAGGGTTTCAATTATTAAGGTCCTGAAGACCTCTACAGCTCCTGTAGCGCTTCGAAAAGGGATTTAAAATACAGTCATAACAGGGTAATAGGTACAAAGATTATAAGAAAATTCCAAGGTGGTCCAAAGAAAAGATTCTACGGGGAGGGACTCTGAGAATATTTTAGGGCGATTCTGAGAAAATTCAAAACTTTATTTAATAAACAAATTTCAGTTTCATACCACCATTGCGTCCAAAGTTAAGTGTGCACCAGAAAATCATGAACGGGCGAGCGGACTGTCTTCTGTTTGGGCACAGACTTGTCAATTTTGCAAAATGATAATTTATATCATAGGATTGTGCAGAGTCTACCCCAATCATGCGATAAGACGAAATGAGATCTAATGGTTAGGAAGATGATAGACTTTTAATAAAATTCTGTGGAAATTCTAAAATATTCTAAGAAAATTATATAGAGCTTCTAATTTTAAAAAGAGGTTGTATAAGAGGAAAATATTCTAAATTGCACAAAGATTTTGAAGTTCTAAGAAGACGGCAAGGAATCTAAATTGCGAATTTAGCTGAAGGCTTGACTTGATTTTCGACTTTCAAACTATTTGACTTAAATATGGACAATTATAAAATAAAGATCATCTACCAATAGAAACAATTTTAAAATATCGTATGCGGTAGGTAAATTAGCACTGGAAGATTCGCCACTGTAAACTCGCCTCCAGAAAACGCGCCCCGGGAAAATACGCTCCCGGGAAATTCACCCCCAAAAAATTCGCGAAGGGAGTGGTGTGAACGAATCTTTCACCAATACTAATTCTATTCAATTATTTATTAGATATGTTAAAAAGAGTGAAGTATTATCAGATGTAGATATGTAGATTATCACTTTATCAGATTAGGAAACGAAGACTCTGTTGTAACAAAAATATCACTGTGGACAGAAAAAGTGTAATGGAATGTTTTTTTGGATCGAAACCATGATATGAAAATAATTCAATCTTAATTATATCGTACGGTGAACTCAGAAAATTAAAAAACGTCATTTATCTCTTTTGATAATTTGTGGACATGCCACGTACTTCTTAATGATGACAAATACGCTCAAGCAAATAAATAAGATCCGGACTATTTTTTTATAGAAACACTCTATCACATATGGGGAACTTACACTTCAAACGCTTTTCTGAAATGTAAAAATTAACAACTTCCTGCATCCTTGAACTTGTTTTAAAAAAAATTTGCGAGAACACGAAAAAATTCTTAGGCGAACTTTCAAGAATCATATTTCGCGCGATTTGCTATTTCGGATGGTCGTGGGCGCTAAATGACAAGCGTCGTGCCGACTGCGTCGAGACGCGTTCGTGTTTAAAATTAGACAAAATTCTTATAAGGTTTATTCAGAGAAGTGATATACAATGCAAACAGAAACATCGGTGATTTTGCGATTTTAATTTTGTTATTGTAGTAAAACGGAATGCCATCTTGCACATCCACCACGCCAGGTAAGCGAACGACCGAATTGGCTTTAATGCTTCCGAAAAATGTTAGTTATTTGCATACCTATGTTTTGTAAAATGTCCAAATCGAGGTGAATGGTTTTTGCACGCTTAGGTACTTGTGTGTTATTTTATTGTTTGCAAATTTGGCGAAATCGCACAAATGGCGCGTGTTTAATTGGAATACTGAAGATTGAATAAACATCACTATTTCGAACTGCTAAGCTTTTACTAAACAAAAATTTCAAAACAGCGACTCTGCAGATGTTTTGGGTTATCCTAAATGTAAGACTTATTTTAAAAACTTCTTGATGAAATCAGAAATACGTCAACGGAGTCTTGTGATTTTGTAATTTTTATTTTAACACCGTTTAGCGTAATATTAGAAAAATAAAGTAAATAAAGCACGTTTGCCGCTCTTAAATGTTTATTTTGGTTAACTTTGCAATAGTGAATGTGTTGAAGGATTTAAATTTGCGATTTTATGCAATCGTATTGTTCCAAAGAGGCCTATGCCCTCAAATCTTTGAAACGCTTGTTGCCAACATTTTGCTTAGCTTTTCGCACCAATGAAATCGCTGATATACCTCCTTTACAGTAATGGACACTGTATATCCCGAACCTATGTCAAGATTGCACCGCCGTGTTGTTCCGAAGAGAAGAGCTGGACCTTCTTCAAGGTATAGAACTCAGCCGATCACCTTTTCAGAAATACAGGTTTGTAATGATTTCGCTAAGTTTGAATCAAAAAACATACATTGTAGTCTCTCCAATGGCATTTTCTTTATCTATGTTTACCTGAACTGCTTGTTACAATTGGCTTTGCAGAGGAAATGTCCTCTACAATAATAATAATGATCCGATCTTTTATGTTAACCTTAGGACCGGTTCTTCACGTTACATTTAAACTTATCTGATAGATAACTTACTATGTCCCCTATGCAAGCACATATGTTTCCATCGAAATTTATTGGTAAGATGAAATCTGGCTCTTAGTGTGAGACAATCACTGAATTATTTATTATCAGTCGGCGGCGGACTTATAGGTGGCGGTTACCGTAGGGGCCTATTCTTTTTCAAACCTCATTACCCTATTGATGCAAATATGCAATAATGTTGTGTTCATTTTGTGCCATACCATACGAATTTAGTGCTCTTATAGTTATTCGAATTTTTAAAATGCGACTACAATAAATGTCAGTCTTTTTGTACCTCAATTTTGTTCCTATTTGGTGCTTTTTTACCATATATCATACGACCTGTATGCTCTTATGGTTTTTGAGTTGTTTGCTATTTTAGAATGGGACTCCAATTTTGCTTTCGTGTTCCAATTTTGTGCTCATTGTGTCCAATTTCTTACAGTATGAGGCAAAGTCTGAGCTTTCAAGGTTTTTGAGTTATTGAAATTTTTATTTTAAGCGGATATTGTAAAATTCAAAACCTTTTCTTACCCTAATTTTATTTTGTTAGATTTATGTTATCTTTTTCGTGTCACATATAAATGTTATATTTTCCGTTTAAAAAAATTTCCTGTGGCTACCACAGATACCCCACCCGCACACCTCTGCATGTATGATTCTGCCCTTTTGGGCCTAACGATATGTGTGCCCAATTTGGTTCCAATCCGTTCAACCGTTTAGCCGAAAATGAGAGCACAGACAGACCGACAGACCGATAGACTCACATCATCGTTTTGTTTGCCTCTGGATTTCTGGTGCTTCAAAACCTGTATTTCTGTAAAAAGTGGGGGGTCATTTTTATCCCTATGCAATACCTCCCTTACTAACGTGCGGATGGTAAAAGCTGTCTAGAATGGAATATCACGGGCGTATACCCTTGATGTTGTAAAAATGGAAGTGCGCTCATTATCATCATTTGAATACGTACATCTAACAAAATTAATTCAGATAAACCTTGCGATCGATTGTTATAAGTTTTACAGTTCAATACCCCAGTAATGATGTAACATGTGTGGGGTTAATCCATATTCTCATTCTACTCTACAAGAAATATATTTTTGTAACACTAATCTAAACGATGTTCTTAAATAAAGTAGACAAAATATATTAGCGAATGTGGAGCTAAAAATGAAACAAAAGAGCAAAGTACGTTGGTCCCATGTTAAACCCTTTCAAAGTTACATCCTTTCGGAGCCAAAATACAAGTTTTTAAACGTTCTTTAGAGATTCTGGGGCTCTTCGGAAATTCTTCAAATATTTCTTGAGTATCTCTTAAAATTTTCTCAGAGGTTCTTCATAGATCTTTTATAGATTTTTCCAGATTTTTTGCGGAAATTCCTAGAAAATTCTGCAATTATATTTTAGAAATTTCACCAGGTATTCCCAAGAAGTCTTTGACAGATCCGCGGAAGATTAGGAAAAAAGTTCGCACTTTTGAAGCTATGAAATGGAATGGAAGGATAGGCGGCAAAGTGAGGGATGGGGACGGAAGGACAATTTGTCCAACCGATTTTATATCTTTTTTTTTGGGAGGGGAGGAGGATCAGATAATTAGTTGGGGGTTTGTTGTGGAAACGCAGAGCCCATCAGTATGAAAATCTCTTTGATTTGGGATAAATTTGCAAGGAACTGGTATTTTGAACAAATAATAATCTGGTGGGAGGTATCCCAGATGAAACCACCCTTATTTATGAAAAGGACTTTTTTGATTTCGTTGACATCGACGGCTTTCGATGATCCGTCGTACGATTTGTACAACGAACTTTTCGACGTCTTGCCACAAATCTTTATAATTCGAACCTCATGGCGTAGTTCAGTTGAAACTAGACTGCGATACTACAGGTCCCCGGTTCGAATCCGGGTTCGGGTATGGATGTTTTGTAAATGTATAGTGAGGTGGGTTGGTAGAGTAGCCTGAAACCCCGCCCACTCAAAAATAAAGGCAAAATAAATAAATAAAATAAATAATTTGTAGTAGTGAGTGACGAAAATGCCTTCACTACGTCGTTGGGAGACTGGTTCCAAGCTTTAAGGGCAGTTTTCTATACCGTAAATGAAGTAACTGCATGGTAGCACCCGAATCCGTACTTATATGGGCTTACAAGTGCTTCAGTGGTCGACCCCAAGCAGAGTAAACGTGGTTTTACAACCATGGAGCTTATTAGAGTACCCAGTCATTAGCAATCAACATTTGTATTTACTCTATGGTGTAGGCAACCCCCCCTAACGGAGGTTCTAAGGGGCAAATGAGCCAATTTTAAAATAAAAAAATTCTTACTGCATATATTTTGGTCACAAACCAACACCAAGTAAATTCTTTGGTGATGAATTTTGGAGTGAAAATTATTCCCGAGACAAATTTAACACTAGGGGCGGTGAATTTTCCTACAAGCCTAGCTAAGTGTTGCGTTAATTGCACTTGTCAGTTTGTAATAGAATATGTTTGATATTTGACTATTTTACTGCATTTTACTCTAAATAAAAAATGGTGTCTCAAACAGAAGTGGAAAAATGAAATGAGTTTTGATATAAATTAGTGATGTCCTGAAAACGAACATGCATTCGTGCATTTTCCATTCCATTTATTCTATTGTCTTTATTTATAGATTATTTTTTAAGCTTTGTTCTCCGAAAAATGTAGGTAGGTACTTATTTCCATAGTATGTCGAAATTGTAAGTTAAATTCAGCGTTTAGGAACAGAATAAGTATATGGTTTTAACGAAAAAATCATTTATCACATACCCCGCTTTGTTTCTTTCACTTTTCCATGTATAACCACTTCTTCTTTTGGAAAACACAATCCTTTTTTGTTTGTTTTTCCAGTTTTATAATTCAGTAAGTAAATTGGATACACGGATTCGTAATTTTTTGTATATCCTATAAGTACTGTCTAGAAAATAAAAGAGGAGGATTGGAAACATTTTTTGAAAAGTGAATAAGAAATATTGCCTATATATAGTACCCAATTGACTCCATTAGAATTGAGGATTCGAATCACTATAAATGGATTTGGATCATCTTTGTAAATGATCTATAAACACAGAAGGTTGAAGTGATTCGAAAAAATTGTTTCAAAGAGAGGATTGGAATTCTAGATTTAATTGATTTAGCAAGCTCTAAAAAGGATTGGTGATTCAAATCGTTAGTGAGGGTGGTTTGAGACAACTGGATGTGAGGATTGTCTATAAAACAATGATATTTTGATACATGTTTTACTTTTTCATCACGGCTTCAGTGGTAGTACCACTACCCCGCATGCAGCCTCTTCGGATGGTCATGGTCGTAGATTACTATTACTAAACCATTTAGTAATAGTAATCTACGACCATGACCATCCGAAGAGGCTGCATGGGGTAGTGTACGGCACTGGTGTCATTTCTGGCATTAGAGGTGTCTCCTATTCTAAGAATTGGAAAAAATGTCTCCAAGTAAACCAGTGAACGATTGAATTCAATACACTTTTTTCATGCCCAACTTTGATTATAAAATACAATTCAAAGATGCCCAAGTTAAATGTAGGCCGTTACTTCGCCTGCTATACAAGCTCTCCATTTTTTATGGGGGGTGTATATGCCTTCCCTGACTGTTTAGTCGTACTGTTCTCTATAATATATTCCTGCTGATGGAGGTGTTTCTTGATTTCAACTACAAAAATACGAGTCAATCATAAGCAAAATGTGAAGTTAAAGAAAATTGACCTATGAAACTATATTTGCAGTACTAGTGGACTCGGTTTCAGGTGTTTTTCTTTGCCTTGGAGCTTGCAGAAAAATTTCCTATTATTTTCCTGTATCTAAGTTTCATTATTGTCTTCATCATTCTTTCTTTTACTTATCGACAGGTTTCACTACACGATTTGAATTTTATATCCATTCTGAGACATTTAATTCTCCAGCTATCTGCCTGCCTTATTTGTCTCTGTACCTCTTTTTCTATGTTGTTATATCTAACCGCATGCCATTTATATCCCGTGGCAGTTATTTGGTTTGATTTGACCAAAGAGTATTATAACGTTATATTCGTTAACGTTGATCTAACTAAGCGGACCCAATACATGTCAGGCCAATTAATATCGAGCCTACAAAATACTTCACACTCGAGAGAAAACAACAATGAATGTGTAAATAAGCACAATACTAATAATAACAGCGCAAGTTTAACGTAATTAAGCATTTGCGTATAAATAGGTTTCAAGTATTGTGCGAGATTTATGCCAAGTTCTCTAAAGAAATTGCACAAAATTGTTTGGATAAATTTTTTTATAGACGAAGTGTTTTTGAACAATGTTAACGTTCAGCCAAAACACGAGCCCGTACATCCGAAAGAACTTACAAATCTTAGCCGCACATTAAAACTATTTGGTATCGCCACATTTTTGGCGTTAACACGAAGAATTTTGCACTATCCATAACAAAATGATTGTATTTGGCGTATCATTTGGTCAAATACATGGAATATAATATTTTTCCATGAAGATGGCAATATTCATTCTGAAACGAGGCCGTAATGATTGTAATCTTCCGGTAGCTATACGCTTCGTCGTGTTTCTTGAAAAGCGTTTCCCATGGGCACAATAAATGAAGGACGTGTACTTCTGTTCACTTCTCCATTAGTACATACCTAATCTCGATATCTCAAGGCACTAGTGTATCGAAACGTATTATTTCACTTACTGTAAACGACAGCGTGGTAGACGATCCTCAAGAAGTGGCCGATATTTTTAATGACAAATTCGTTAATGCCCCACACGAAACACTTAATGTCTTGAAATCTCAGAACCTAAATAATCTTCTTGGTCTAAGTCTAAGCAATCTGCAGACAGTGAAGAACAGTATGTGTGCTCTTCCTTTTAGCGCAACAGAATTACTGGCATGCTTAAACAAAATAAAATTAAATAAATCATCAGGATCAGACTGCATCCCTACAAGTCTGCTTAAATCTATCATACCTTCAATAATTCATCCCCTGGTAATTCTAATTAAATTATCCTTTGCTCAGGGCATTTTCCCCTCTGAATTAAAAACCTCTATAGTTCATCCAATCTATAACAAAGGTTCGTGCCAGGATTGTAATAACTACAGACCGATATCAGTTAGTCCCTCATTGTCGAAGGTCTTTGAATATGCTTTGTTTGATAGGTTAATTAGCCACCTACATAGAAATGATGTCATAACAAGCAGACAGCATGGTTTTCGTACTGGCTACTCTACTATGTCTGCCATTACCTCTTTTGTTAGTGATGTGACTTCTTACCTGGACAATAAGCAACATGTGATGGGAATATTCTGTGACCTCACGAAGGCATTTGACTGTGTCAACCACAATAAACTAATGGATAAATTAGAACATTATGGCATACGTGGTGTTGTTGCTAATTGGTTTTTGTCCTACCTGTCAGGTAGAACGCAGTACCTATGTCCAGTTAACGTATAAAACGGATTTTAATATTAAAAAATTTTCGTCGTGTCTTTTACCGGTAAAAATTGGTGTGCCACAAGGTTCGATCTTGGGGCCAATCCTATTTCTATTGTTTGTTAATGACATCGTCTTAATTTGGAATGCGATAATAATGTATGCGGATGATACCACAGCCATAGTATCCGGGAATAGCATTAGTGAGCTGCAAACACGTGCTGTGGAAATACTCACAAAGCTCAATGACTGGTTCAACTTTAACAAGCTCTTCCTAAACCATAGTAAGACGTACTGCATCCTATTTTCTTCGAGATCGGGCAAAAATGCTCTAACCTGTCCGCCAATCGTCAACAAAACAATGAACCTGCAAAAAAACAGGGAAATACCTAGGTATGTGTGTCGACGTTAACCTCAACTGGAAATGTCACTGTCTGTGTTTAATCAAAAAACTTAATACTTGCTGTTTTCAAATTCGAAGTATCAAATAACTGATTTGGTTACATTATACGCTCTCCTACTACTATGCCGAGGTTCAGTCGAGATTGTGTTATGGCATTATTTTCTGGAGATCATCTACATACGCATCAAAAGTGTTTATGGTGCATAAAAGAATACTGCGCTGCTTGGTGGGTATTAAGAAATGGGAATCATGCAAAACCCACTTTATTCAGCTTGGTCTTCTCACTCTGCCGTCTATTTTCGCACTGGAGGTTTTATTGTACATATATAAAAATCAGCATAAGTTTGTGCGCAATGGGGACTTACACAATTACAACGAGATTTCTCTGTGCCGGTATCAAAACTCAAAGTATCCCAACAGTCACCCAATAGCATTGGCATTAAGCTCTTCAACAACCTCCCCAGCACCATGAAAAATATGAAGACTTTCAGGGAATTCAGGTTCAAATTAAAAAACTTATTACTTCAAAATGCAATCTATAAAATCGACGAATTCGTAAACCTCTGCAAATAAATTTATTTACTTTTTAATTTAAACTTTGTAAATTGCTATGTTACTATGTAATCTTATTTTTTTTTACTGTCCTGACTAGCCCTTACACAATGTTAATCCATTGTCAAAAGGTAACAATAAAATTGAATTGAATTGAATTGAGTAAACCGAACATGCCTCATTGAACCTTAAAATGTCACTTTGTATATTATATCTATATACGTACCTTTTTTTCCAAAAAGGCTCACAAGAGTTTTGATCCCGTAGATGAGGAATCTGCACCGAAACTTACCTACCTTAAATATCTTTTCAGGAAGTCGACGAAGAAAACGTCGAAGACGCCGTACCAAAACCGTCCTCTTCCAAATCGGAGCTGAGTTTACTACACAACAAATTCGAAGAGTTTAAGAAATCCAGAGACCTAATATTGGGCAAAAACGATGCCGAATATACAGAAGTTAGTAAAAATCCAGTGCCTTTATCGTCTTCGAGGTCCACGAGTAGATTGCCTTCAAGAACGTCATTATAAACTAAATCTCAATGACAATTATTATAAGTTTACCTTAATTAGATTAATAGTTCTTACGTGAGTAGGTGGTAACAGTATGGAAATGTTTTATTCATATTCCTATACGTAACTTAAAACATAAAACGTTTGTGTAAATAACATTTTGTATTAATAATTATGCGATATAAATAATTTATTCTTATTATTGACTATTTCACATACATCACGCATTCGCCTCATATGTACAAATTTAATAAATATAATATAAAAAACGTAGACCTACGCCAAAATAATTTGGTTAGTCTTAGGTACTTATTTATTATCTTGTATCATTTGATTCAGATTTGGAAGGACCTGGGTCAGGTTCAGGTTGACTAGAAGTTTCAGGATCGCCGTTGACAGGTACAGGCTGAGATTCAATAGGATGCAGTGTGACTATCGACTGCCTTCGGATCGGCGTAATAGGTTGCGAATGTAAAATGGCGTAAAGCGGCCCTTCCCTGTCATTTGATGGGGTTACTAGAATGCTGGGTTCGTCTTCCATTTGCATGCTACTTTCTGCGGCCGATGGAATTGTTGTTAGAAAACGAACCGTAAGTCTACCAGGCGACCCGGGCGGTTCCGACTCATCTTGAATTGCACATTGGCGCGTTAGCCTAGGTTTGCTTCGTATACGTGATGGTTCGCTGCTGGACGCGCTGGATCTAGAGATCCTCCAAGTGCTCGTGCTCGCCGTTGTAGCAGATCCTGACGAATCGTTACGTGAACTGGACAAATTTGAATCCTGCGAAGTTTTTCGGGTAACTAGCCACGAAGAAGCTCGCCGCTTTGGATCCAGGAGACGTAATGGTATTCCACAGTGATGATTGTGCCTCCACGAGTCGGAACGGGAAGAACTAAAGTTTTCGCTGGAGGACACGGAAGAGGCGCGCTTGTGTTGTTTTTGCTGTATTTCTGCTATTTGGTAGGTGTACTGATCGGAACGTTGCCTGTGACGCGCTTGCCTTCTTAGACACAGCACCCAACGTGCTTTCTTCAGCAGCCAGTCGCGAACCGTATTTTTCTGTTCTTGAGGAGCAGGCGTCGCGGTTGCTTCTCCCAGTAATTTTGCGTTACAGGTACACTGCGGCGCGTGGTGATTTTGATTTTCGCGCGAAGATCTATCCGCCAAACTGTTGGTGTTGGCGGGTGTTTGCCTATTGCTGAAATTTGAGCTATGTCGGCAACGTCCTATTCCACGCGTCACTCTACTCTCCTCTATTGCTTTGCATATCATAACACAGTCTTTTTTAAATTGCTTTGTTAAAATGGCATAAAGAAACGGGTTACAGCACGAGTTTAATGGCAACACGAACACTGTAAACACTTTGGCTTGTTCGAGGGAAATGAGGTGAAAACCGAACGCAGCAGTTAATGAGAAAAATGCTATCGGTGACCAACACAAAAAGTCCGTAAACACTAATAGCGCCATCCTTTTCGCAATTCTCGAATCGTTCGAATTCCACGCTTGAGATCCTCTAATGGCACAATACATTTTCAGGTAGCATCCCATAAGGATGAGAAAGGCAACTCCGTTAATTATCATCAAAAATACTACATAGGTTAAACTTGCTACCGTATTAGTCTCAAACGGAAGGCATACTGCAAATTTCCTGTAATCCGACACGCCGAACAGTGGCAGCAGAGCCATAAGAATGGCGAACGACCACCCGCATACCATAATATACCCAGCGTGCTTTAGCGACAGTCTTTTATTTAAGTGCATGGCGTGCGTAATGGCATAGTTTCTTTCCAGCGTGATCACTGCAAGCGTATAGACGGATAGCTCCGAGCTGAGAACGCCTAGGAAACCGGCAAGCTGGCACCCTGCCGACATTTGCCAAGGTATGGCGTACATCCTAAATTCACCTAATGTTGACGCATCCACCACCGCCAGAAACCCTAAATGTGATTTAATATCAATGTATAGTTAACATGGACATTTCTGAAGTTAATTTGAAATATAACAGACTTAGAGCAGGTTTTTCATGCTTGAATTAAGATTAAATGGTTCTAAAGCGCAATGTTAAACAAAAGTTCTGCCATTTTGGCACAAAAACGCACAATTCACTATTGAAATTGAACTTCATCGAAAATGTTGGTGCATCAACATTAAACCTTCCATTCATGATCAAAGTTGCTATTTCATTTGAGCTTTCTTTATGCACCAACTCATAGTTCTGTCATACTCATTTTCTACTCGTTTATGAGACCTTTCCCACATTTTGTGCGTTAACATTAACAAAACTTCATTTAGTATTACAACCTAATACTGCCGCATTGCAATAAAGACACTATTATTATAATAGAACCGTTACAGATTGCGACCTTTTTCTTTCCTTCTTTTCTACCTTTAAGAAAGAGTTTCTAGTTTACCAGAGTCAGATTGCTCTGTAATGGCCTACTAGGAAGAATTGACAATACAGCAATACAAAATACTCATAGACGATCCACTGTTAGATGCATTTTAGAATTCTTTTCGGAATAGGTGGTGGAAAAAAAAATTACACCGCATCTCCTGTTTGAAATACACATGTAAAATTCATTACTGAAGCATTCAAGACTCTGGCAAAGGCTGTCTTTTATACCCATTTAGGTAGATCATTCAATCGCTTGGTTTTTCTTGACTAACATGGCGTACAGCTTTAAGCACGGTGTAAAGTAGGTTTTTGAACTATACCCGTTAAATTGTGAAGCAATATCGTAGTAGAGACAACGTAAGACAGAAAGAGACAAAGGGGTTTTCTTACGAAAATATGTAGTTTAAAATCCTCTGAGAACTTTCTAACACCTAAAGTGTTATAGCTTCAAATTTTTAGAAGCCGCTAACGTCTTTCACAAATTATATAAGGATTGTTAGTCATTAATAGCATCTTTATAGCGTCTTTAAAGATATTCAAGAACTCCAAAAGTTTCAAAGAACCTCCAATGGCGCTGTATAGGTTTTTAACGCCTTCATCAGACTCCACAATATTAAGTTGTAAGCCAACTTGAAGTTTTGTAACTCGGGTAATAATGACACACAAAACGTGGCAGTGGGCGTACAGATTAGAACCGAATGAGTAAAAATCAATGTGTCAAGGTGTTCAAAATAAATATTGCAAATTTTCCCAAGGACCGTGGGATGGAGACCTACCCAAGTAAATTCCCATAAAAAAATCCGCTGCGGCCAAATTGCAGACAAGAAATCGTGGTACATCCATCTTACTCCTCGAGAACACCAGCACAAAGACGACGGTACCATTCCCCAACATTGCGCATAGAAACACAAGCCACACGCCACACCGCAACGTCCACCAGTCAAAAAGATCTTGACATGGAAGGAACGGTCCGGGTAGGGGGAGACATTGAATCTTTCCCGGTGGGATATCGCTGTTTGGTACCTTTAACACGTCTTCTTCCGAGTACTCTTCCATGTACGATGGAAAATTTCCAGGGTAGGTAAAATCGGACCCCCCAATATGGTCCCAAAACTCTCGAAACGTCTTCCCTAACTTGTGACTGATGTTCTCTAAAAGCACAAGATGTCATCGCCAATGAAGGTAGCGAATGAAGCCTTACGATTTTGAGGCCACAAGTCCGTTCCGCTCGAGTTCCAGAAGGTCAAATCGATGTCTTCATCGTCTCCGGGAAACAGCACGATATCCTTCACCTTCGCAGGCGGCGGTGGATTAGAGGGAATTAGCGGTATAAACGCGCAGCAGTGGTAGGCGTAGGACAGGACTAGGGATTGAATTCTTGGAAAATTTTCGGGAGACGGAAAATCGCGAAGGTGCGGATTGTTGAAGGTCTTCAAGTGCCTCAGGCGTTCCAAGCCGGCTGTTGGGAGATGAGGGAATATGTTATTTCCCAGATTTCTGTAACTGAATCTTTAGGCAAGAATATTTATGGTTGAGGGTCACTTACAGGTCTTCGATGTGTGAAATTGCTAGAAACGCGTCTGGATGGATGTAGGAGACGTGGTTGCTTTCCATGTCCCTAAACATATAATGTTCGGGTCGTATTTACAAATAACACTTTGGCGACTAAGAAAAAGGGGCGGGGTAGTGGCGCTACTTACAAAAATTGCAGCCTGGACAGTCCGAAGAAGGCGTCGTTCGGAACATACTCGATCTCGTTGTGCGCCAGGAGAAGGTCATGCATTTTCGTCATTCCGTGAAATGGCCGTTCCTCGACTGACTTGATTCTATTGCTGGCTAAATCTCTAAACACAATTGTTGTTTACTAAAACTATTCACTTTTATTTAGTTTGAAAAGCTAATAGTAATTACTTGTACTTACAAAACCCGTATTTCCTTGCAGTTGTTCAAGTCAGGAATCGACGTCAACTTGTTCGACTTCAAGTCTCTGTAATATGAAATTTGTTTAATAATATCAAGTGTATAATTATGAGGCCCTTACAAGCTTCTTAATCGCGGACATGTGTAACAGAGAGAAGACGGAACTGATGAGATCCCAGCCCTGTCTAAACGCAGTACTTCCAGAGACGTGGTACCGTTAAGTACCGGAAAAGTTGATAGTCCGCGTGCTTCGGAGAGGATACTGGAACAACAAGTTTCATTACGAAACCATGAGGCTGAGAAATTCAGAAACAAAAGATAACATACAGTGACAATTTCAAACTAAATGCACAAAATGGGACTTTTTTTCAAAGATTTATGGTCCAATAAATAAAATAAAGTTAATAATAGTAATACTTGCAGGTTTCGTAGCCGTGGAAGGTAGGAGAATGCGTTGGAGTCGACTTGTACAAGCGGATTTCCTTTCAGCTCTAAAACGGCGAGGCCTGGACTTTTTTGTAGGAGGCCGCCCGGTATGAATTTTATACGGTTTCCAGATATTGATCTGAAAGAGAAATAAAATAGCGTTAGATCATTTAGAACAACCATGCTTGATAAAAACAAATAAATTTTTACAGAGGCACGGAAAATACTGCAGGATGTGAAACCTCTGCAGTAGATATGGTGCTGCAGGTGTCGATTTCAGAATTTTTCCGTCCACGACAGAATGAATAGTTTTGCTATGTGCTTGTAAATAAGTCTTGACTTGACCGTGCTTACCCCTCTAGTTGAAGAGACATTTTTTCACTTTACTTCTAGGTAGAAAAATTTTCTTGTTCAAGATCAAGTTCAAGAAAATATTGTGCAAGTAGAACAAACCGATTATGATTGGACAAATAAAGACTAAAAAAGTTTTCTCAATTTCATGATATATACGGATTAATCAATTGAACGAAAAATAAATATATAAACGTAATTGAAAGAACCTCAACGAATTTCAAATAATTTTTGTTGCAACGCATTTTTTGTTATTTTCCGAGTTTCCAGTAACGATAATTACAAATTACACTCGAATGACCCTGTAAAATAGATCAAAGAAAAAATGTTTACTGATTTTTATAATGAAATCCTGTATTTATCTGGACCATCAATTTAATTAATTATTTTTATTGCTCAGTTTCATTGGTATTTATATCAACATAAACTTTGTAACTGTACTTCTCTTTGCGTCGTTCTAAATTCAAATTACCAACAAAGATATCACAGTTTAGATTAATTGTACTTAAATAACAGTGCGTAAATATCAATTTAGGGAATCCATCCAGTGAACTTTCTTTTAGAGTCGTAATATGATCTCACTGAAGATATCAAAAGAACTCGATTATTGTAGTAAGTAACATGTAGGTACATTGTTTGAGATACCAGATTCCAGGTGAAATGGCTATGATACTGTAAAGGATCATGCTATTTTGCAGATGATTTCTGAATTTCTCATAATGTTTATGCTGCTGAGTAAGTTAGAGGCTCTGTATCACCGACATATTTCTGAAAAATGTCTCAGATGAGTTTATGTTAGTAACTTAGTCTATAAGGGTCTTGGATTCGAATCCGATATAAAACATGGCGGTTTGTGATTGTATAGTGGGGTTGAGTAGGAAGAGTTAATTAATTAATACCCCGCCCACTATAAAATAAAGGTATAAAATTAAAATAAAAAATAAAATAAAATATAATATTTGCAGATGATACCTATGGTAATAGTGACAGAGCCAGAAGTAAAACTACAAATGATTAAATTCCAAAAAGAACTAGCAAAATGAATGTGGAAAATAACATAAGCAAAAGTAAGACGATGATAATGGTTCTCGTAATGGCTAATGAGGTTAACGAACATATAATAAAAATTAATGGACAAGTACTCAAATAGGTTACGAATATCTGGGAGCTAGTGTAGAATATAATAGTACAATAAACAAAGAACTAAATTCCAGAATAGGGGAAAAGTGGGAAGAATACACAACACGCTTAAAACGACATTCTTTGGAAGCAGGGAAATTCCTAAAGAAACCAAAACGTAAATTTAAAAAAAAGTAGTAAGGCCATCATTGATATACGGAAGCAAAGCATGGGCGTTAATCTAAAAGTACATGAAAGGTAATAGAAAAGAAATACCTCAAGAATAAAAGGAATCACAGTAACTGAAAACCCTATAAAACCACTTTAAAGAGTCTCAGTTAATAAATCGAAACCAGCCGAATACGTATCATAAATAACTAATAAGCTTCTTCTGTTTACACTGATGTCAAATTTGCCTATAAAATGGGTTGAATAACTGTCAGGCATATATATCTATGCATTGATCTGTATGTTTAAGAATTGAACATAGGAGATTTGTATGTTAAAATTTACGCACTGTATGGTTTATTTATTAGAGCAGTGATCAATATTAACATTTGACCCGTTGAGATTCCCATATAAAGTAGTACGATGATGATCCTCTAGGTTGATGTTTCAACTACCCTACACAACTACACGGATTGTGATAACAGCACTTAGACTGATTAAACCATACATTTTGAAACAAACAGTAACAAATGTCCAGTCCGTATAAGGAAAGTGATCGTAAAAAATTATAACGGCTAGAATTGATACTGTTCAATAGCAATTAATAACATATACCATTGATTTATCGACAGAACTTCTTATTAGAAATGCTGCATTTCAATTTTATGACCCAGTTTATGGGACAATCTCTATATTCAAATTTTACGATCGTAAACTTTTTAAAAACCTTTTCGAGGGAGACACTTAAGATGCCACGGTATAATAAAGCAAACGCGCCGTTTTGACTACCTGTTGTAAATAAAAGCGCAAGATAATAAAAGTTAACGAAATAATGAACACTTACAACTCCTGAAGCGACGGTAGCTTCGTTAAAGCGGATGGAATTTCCATTAGAGCGTTGTCGTCTAGCTCTCTGAAATGCGAAGAGGAAACGATGAAAATGTTGAAAAAGCGAGACAATTAGTTAGCTTAAAATGACGTTACGCAAGTAAAATATTGATGTAACATGTACATACTTACAAAACTCGGAGAGACGTTAGGTTTACGAAAGCCTCCGGTGCGATTTCTTTGATCTGGTTACGTTTCAGCAACCTGAAATTAATGGTAACTGTCAATCATTGGGTTTTGTAATTATTTAGTTAGAATAAATGTTGAACTATTTTACGCATTCAAACTGAAAACTGTGAAACTTCAAACGTTTTACTTTTAAATTGTAGTCAATTTCGTAAGTGAAATTTAGACATCCGTATTATTAATGTTACGCACAATGAAAGTGTGTGGAGATTACGATTACTGTGGTAAATTACTAAAAGTTTGGATCGTGATTAATATCGCCGAATACTCTAAATGATACATGAAGGGGTGGCAATAAACATAAATTTTAGTACAAATAAAAAGTTGGAAGCTTCCATAAAAATTATTTGTGTTTTGGCCTGGTATAATTATGAATCTTTTAGAGGCAGTTTAAGTTTTATTCAATTATACTATATATTTTATTGGAATTTCATTTCCTTTAAATTTGCTCAAATTATTATTAGCACTTATGACAAAATTACTATGTTTAATTAATTGCGAGCGCGTGTAGCATAAGAATTAAATACATAAATATAGTATAAACACAATAAAAATATAACTTCAACCCAAATGTTTCTTTTATATTCTTCTGGTATTGTGTTCCATTTGTCACCCCTAGAGTTTCATTTTGGTTGATCCGTCGGGCACATGCGAGTACAGGAGAAATTTAAGGGATGAAGAAATTTTAAACTGCTTTTTTCTTCAAATTCACACTGCAATGCACAAACAGATATAGCACAGTAATATTGAATTGATGGTAATAAGTCGAAGAAGCAATTTCGGGCGTTTTGGATTCTTGAGATTATACCTATTCGAGTTGTTCTGATCCTTTATCGTCTTCAGAGTCTTTGGATTCAATTTCTTCGGACATTTCATACTCATTCGATTTTTCGAATGATTCAATTTTTCCGTTTTTAATTCTTTCAACTCCAGATTCTTTCATTTGCCTACTTAATTTACAAATTCTTCGTTTGGTGGCTAAACACAAGCGCGCAATGAAAGGCAATACTTCTCCACATAAAATAATCTACTATTACATGCAAATTTTGACTATAACATTTTCCCAAGACACGTCCGGCATCCGCTATTACGAAAAATCTCGTTAAGACTTTAATTTTATTATTTGAGAAAATACTTACAGCTAGCCTTGATTTCTGTGAAAATGGTGTTACGCATTTTTGTGTCCTACAGTACTATTTTGTATTAATAATTTTTGAGTTATTCAACCTTTTTGGAATAAATTTTACTTGCACAGGAAGAATATAGTTTAGCGGGCGGGTATGCCAATTACAATATGCAATCAAAGGTCCCAAGTTAAAATCCGGATTCGTGCATGGAATATGAAAGTATATATAGGCATACAGGCGACCCGCGTTAAGGTGAAGTACTAGACGAATGTTCTTGAGCGGAAAATTGAAATATACCCAATTTCGGCGTTACTGGTAGAAATCCTAGACAGTATTGGCTGAAAAATATGTAACGACGCTAAAGTTGCTAAGAGAGGGCGCTAGTGCTTCAGCTTAACGCGGGTCGCCTGTAGTCGGTTGGGGTTAATTGAACGATCGCGACTAAAAATTGGAAATAAAGGCATAAATAGAAATAATAGATTCGCCAATAAATTCTGCAAGGACACTAATACATTTAAGCATATCCACTTGTAACGTTCGATTCTTAATTTAAAATTACAAATTTACATTTCATTTAAGTAACATTCGATTACTACCCTCATTCAAGTATATTCCTACGCCATTTATGTATTTCCTTTTGAAACCCGTTTAGTTTAGATGTAAGTTAGTTCTATGGTTGTTGTTGAGTTGTTACTACCTTAGTTCTTTGTTTTACGACTAGAGGCAATTCGTGTATACCTTTCTGCACTTCATTTTATCCCTTCTTCTTTAATTCTGTCTTGTTCCTTTTCTACGTTCATAATGGTTATTCGTGAATTGTTCTTGATACGCCATTACTGACTACCTGAAAAAAGGGCTCTTGGTAGTGGTTATTACCATAATTCTTTGGAATTTTTCTCACTATTCCTGATGTGTTGTGGCTGCTCCATTGAATAGGTTTGCGGATTTATATTTACAAGTGAACACGCTGTGAGGTATGTACAGATATGGCTCAACATTATACTTAACACGTAATTTTGGACTTTGTTTTCTCTCATTGTTCTCTCCTAAAACTTCTATTTTTTTCTTCCGATTTACTTTTTCATTATTATCTAACTGGATACTACTACGTATTTCTGATTCTACGTGCATTATTATTATATTACATCTTCTGACACTCCAGTTTTGCCTACATTGCTGTTGTCACTCCGATGATTCATTCGTACCACCTTAACTACGTTTTATATGCTTTATATTAGTCTGTTTATCGATATTTATTGAATTGCTTTTGAATTGTGAATTAGTTTTTGAAGTTACCGAGACTGATCCGTTCCGGAACCGACAACTAGGATTTTTATTTACGTTACTTGTGTCATTACGAAGAATTTGTTCGTGCTAGTTTATTT